GGGGAAGTGTTATACATTTATAATAGATACATTTTGAGCCACAACAAGGCGTGGCGGGGTCTGCTAGTAAAATATATAAAGCTTTTGAGACGAAGTGCAAAATTCTCTATTATAAAGTACAAAATGAAGTAACTGCAAACACCACTTACAAAAATTGAATGTAACATAATAAATGAATTTTTTATATTTATCGAAAATATATTCGAAAAGTAAATTTATAATTGTTTTAAGTGAAAAAATTGAAACATAAACTGTTGTTTGAAATGTTTAGCTTCATCTTACAGTTAAAGAAAACGTTAAATTCATAACATTAAATTTTTAATTCCTCGTACAAGAGAGCGAAATAATGAAAAAGTATTGTTTGGTGACAATAGAATATAGTCTTTTTAATCTATGTAAAAATCGTTTTATGTAGATTTTTGACTGGTAAACATCATGGTTTTCGTTCGACTCTACACGTCAATTAGCAATAATGACATATCAATGTGTAACGTCTAAGTTCTTCGAAACCCAGAATTACCAAATATACGGCGTTTCATGATAGAAAAATGATTATAAGAGGGTCGGACAGTTCTAGGCCAGAAGCTGTAGTTTGCTGTGTGAGATCTATTTGCCAGATACCTATCCTATCAGGCATCACAAGTCGTATGTCGTCATCTCACTAGAACTTCTCACTGCAGCAGTTTCAGAAGTGACATTCCGAGTGTCACGTGATTAGCCGTTACATTCGACTCGTCTCACTTTCTTACTACATGGTACAACTAGCATGGCCGCTCGCTAAGCTAACCACCTGTCTTTCCAGAAGATTTCTTTTTCACAAATGCTTTTTGTTTCACATTACCTTTGAAACCATTTCATGTGTATAGAAACGTTTCATAAATTAAATCATTCGACTATTGATAGACATGTTATATTTTCATTTGATACGAAGATATTTTTAAAAATTCTTTTATATTCATTTTAAATCGTTCTTACAAAAGATTGCACATTACAAGAGATTATGATTGACATTCAAGTATTTCAATATTTAAAATTCTATACTGTACATTAATTATTACAAACGTTAGAGACTCATTAGTTTAATTAATTTTAATTCGGAATGCAATACAATAAGCTTTATTATTATTGATCTACAACACACACACACACACAAGTATACACTGTAAGTAACAACAACATTAATTAATTAAAAATCGCCAGGACGAATTAATACATTACAGATTTAATTCACAGAAGTATCACAAAATCGTCTTCTTAATCTACTGTCCTTTTAAACGCCTTTAAATTAATTTTTATGATTGTGCCGTAGCCAGGGAATGATTTTACTGGTTTTACACACTGAGGCGGGAAAAGTAGCCTATAAAGGAAGGTTGACTCTGCCGTAAAGACTGTTTGTTTGTTTGTGGCAACGGAACACTTGGGCGAACACATGCCTTCCTGGAGGTATTTTTAAAGGAAACTGGCCCCTATTTAGTCGTTACAGACGTGGAGAAAACCTGAAAAACTCCACATGGCCAGCCTGTCCGAGAGAGGCACGAACTCCCAGTGTTCAGGATACTGGTGGGCAAAAAGACTATTTGTTCCCGAGGTGTTTAAAAGGACGTTAGATTAAGAAGACAATTTTGTAATATTTCTGTGAATTAAATTTGCACCATAAGTAAATTTAAAAGATCTAATATAAAAAGTCGCACTAATTTTCCTGTAAAATAACTAATTCGTTTTCCGCCGATTATAATATTTAGTTATTATTTAAAACAAACGAATATAGTTTATCTTTAATTTTCTAGTCTAAATTTTTATCAAATTCCTCGTGTCTCCGCAATTTTCTTAATTTTGCAATACGTGTGGTTCTTTACGTGACAACCGGGAGTTTCATGAATACATTTTTATACTTTGAAAAGAGATTTTTAATTAATATTTTAAAATATTTTAAAACCTGTAAAAAAGATAGAAACTGTCTTTCTTGTCATCTTCGCCCTTTCTGTGAATCAAAGGAAGTTAGAGTTCCTTCTAAAATGAAAGTTTTAGGAGGGACAGAAACGAATCGTGGACAAATCCCATTGATCTACTAATTTCTTGTAAAAGGTGACGGTTACCTTTTATCATGCTTATACAACCATGCTTATGTAAGGTTACCAACGGGGGCCGAAATGTCAAGTAGAGGTGTTGCGAAGGGTCGTCTGTTTAGTGTAACTATTCTTTTTGGGTATCTTTTCAAAAGTTGAAGGCCCCGAGGCGATGATAGGAGAAATTCCATTCACGAACTGGATTACCCCTCGATTCCGTCACGAAATCTAGGGGTAATCCAGTTACGAAGACAGGGGTAGACACTCTCAGTGTCTTTGGAATTGACTTTTTATAAATTTTTCGTGTCCCAGATCGACCACTTCGATTGATTGTTTTTACTCATCTCCGCTTACTTATTGGTCTCCCCTCGTTACTAAGTGTAACGAGATCGGAACATAGATCGCGGGATGAGTCAAAATCATCTGTTAATTCGATCCCAATTGAAGATGGTTGATCTTAGGACTAGTTTAATGTTAGAATAAGCGCGTTCAGAAATACGAGAAACTTTGTAATTTTGTTTACTCACAATAATCAATTGTCACCACACCACTTCTTCATAGTCGGAAAAACTGAAACAGAGCAAACAGATGTAAGTAAACGAACCGATTATGAGTGTCAACTCTGGGGGCAACCGTGACGTTTACTTAGATCTGTTTGCTCACCCGTAACGATCCCATTCGACTTTAATATTATTTATAAAAAAATTAGGATTTATTTATCTACCACATTCACGCATCGTTCGTCATCCCTCTTTCGTCTTGATTTAAAAACGATTTTGATCCATTCGGCATCCTGGTGTATTTGCATGCTATGAGAAGTTTATCAGAAATAATTGATTTGCAATTATTTTGTAAATTATGAAAATATGTGCGGAAATATATTCAATTATATTTTCACCTAATAATTATTGTCAGGTCCAAACCGAAACTTGAAGTCGTGAGAGGAAAGAGAATGCAGTGATAAAATATTTTCTTTGTTTCGAATGCAGAAAAACAGAACTAAATGTTTGTGTAGTTGACCAATGAAATTGTACTATTTCGTACCGTTCGATTATTGAGATAAACAATAGGAATAGACTGAAATAACCAAACTGTTTTTATTGTTTTCCTTTTAATGTTATTATATCATAGTATTTGATTTATATAACTGCGAAGGTTATCTTAGGTAAAGGTTTATCACACCGAGTGACCAATAACACTTTTTTAAAATTTTTTGTTCCTCTTCTGTACACAATTTAAAGAATTTTTTAAATGTGTTGATTGGTCACTCGGTATGATAAACCCTTACCTAAGATAACCTTCATACTTATATAAATCATATATTATAATTTAATATAGTATAAGGGATGGAAGTACGAAATAATGTAGCAAAATTCATGTCTGTGGTTATTTTTTGCTCAGGCAACGCCGGGCTAATTTGCTAGTATATATATAGGTAGGTAGCTTCTTGCATAATGTAAGTATTATGCTCCTTTTTTAAAGTATTATGCTCCTTTTCTAAAGTATACTACTTTTTTGATTGCGTACCCCTAATACGAGAAGAACTATAAGTTATACCTCCAATCTATATTATAATATAATATTCAGACAAGGAATGTTGAGTCTAAATGAATCTCACTCGTCTTCAATAAAACTTTCAAATAAATTAGAAAAATATAGCCTACATATAAAAGCTGTTTATAGAATAAATTACTCATGTTTTACGTGTCAGAAAAATTTACTAAATTTCTACTATAAATAATAAGTCTTGCTAAATTTCCCGCTACCCGTAATTTGAATTTTTTCTGTGCATGATCACAAGTGATCGTGAGCCTATTTCTCCGGGTGGATGACTGTGAGATTAGACAGACTGCGGACAGGATAAACATAGAGTACTGTATTTTGAAGGAAAACTTGGTGTACCCCAAGTATCACTTTGCGTACCTCTTGGAGTATGCGTACCACACTTTGGAGACCACTGGTCTATTGATGCAACAACACCTAGAAAACAAGGCCTTTCAGCTAAAACATTATGTGCACATGACATCAGCAAGCGTAGATAATCGAAGTGATCTAACGGGCGCCATTACTGCTTGCACGTGTTGTTGTAGCTTTTCGTTTCGTTTTCGTTTCGTACATCTTACATTATTTCCGTGGAAGTAGAGAAGCCTTACCCGTGTTGCACGCAGGAAAGTAAAACAAATTATTAAAACGGATCAAAATTGAGTGTATTTTCCTTTCCAAAAACTGAAGAATTCAGACGAAAATGGATACGAGCAACGCCGTCAAGATTTTGTGTCTACCAAAAGCTCAAGAGTAAGATAATGTTCTTCTCTGTTACTTTCTGTAACTTTTTCCTAAGCATGTAATATAACTATTATTATATATTATAATTATAAATAATATATATATACATATATATATATAATTATAATTGCCAGAAATACACAGTATACCAAGTATATCATTAGGGCTTATTACAATGACACAATGCAGTTGACATAGTACTCATATATTCATTCTATAAATTTATTTATAGAAAAAATAAATTTATAGATTCTGTATAAAAGTTACCATATTGTTTCATCTCAGAATGATAACCTAATGACATAAGCAGTTTGGAAAAATAAGTTACAATATATATAACAATTAGGTCATTGTTGATTACATATAGCTTTCCACAACTACAACTCCATAACTGTATAATATAATGCATGGTATTTTACAAATATATATGTAGCTTATTCAAGTTAATATTATTCTTCTTGTACTAAGCTTTGTCTTGTGATTACTTTTTATATTATTGCTGTAACGTACTGAACTGTACTTTACATTTACACATAGGTTTTTGTGAGTAATATTTATATTGTTTGTGCAACTCTCTGGCAGTATACTCATGTATCTAATACTTTTCCTGTTTTTAGGTGCTGCCGCTTCATAGCTACCTAACTGTTCTTAGTACTTATCACAACAGACATCTGCAACTGCAAGAGAACCAGCAGAATCCAGAAGCTGTTTAGAAAATGCAGTATTAATTGCAGCACTCAGTGATAACATGAAGACTTTTGAAGAATACAAAACTGAAGTAAATTCTTTCAGAAGTTTAGAAGAGCTGAAAGAAAAAGTGAAAAATTGTGATATTTTTAGTGATTGGTCTGTCATGAAGAGAGAAGACTGTATTCATATTATATTAATTACTTACAAGCCAAATCCAACAGTTACATGTAATGTGAAAGTAGAAGACGCTTTTCTTGCAAGAATATACTTTAAGAACTCAAAACCAAAAGTACTTCATGGCATGAATCTTCCATGTAATGTAGGTAACTTAAATAATACAGAAAATATTGTGAAAGAAAGCATGATATTGTAGAATATTTCAATACGTTTTTGGTTTGGTTGCAGAGATGGAAAACATTTCCAGATAAATCTGGATTAACAAATGAGATACATTTAAAGCTCAGTACACAAGCATTTCTGAAGCGTCATAAACTGGCTGTCAAAGAAAGGAAATACAGTAGTTATTTCCTATGTGGGAAGGTTCAAACTGATTATCTGGAAGCTCGATTTGGGAAATATTTTCAGTTGTCTGGGTCATAGTATCATATATCAGCCAGGGAAATTTTTGAGTATGAACACAAGCTGAGAATCCAAAATTTGCTTCCATTTGTCATTAAGTCACATGTTTTGGTGAAATTGTAATATATGTAAATTAGTATGTTGTACCAGAAATTTTTACAAATGAAAGTGGCAAGCTTATTAACTTATAGATATTGCCCCAGACTTTGGCATTGATTTGCATAGTTGATGATGATGCTATTGATGAGATCTGTATTGTACATGATAGATATCTTTACTTATCTACATAGGGATTATGCTTCTTATGCACTAACCAAACATGTTGAAATAAGACTATTGTAAAGTGTTTCTTTTAAGTGAAAGAGGTGATAAAGAATTTATGCTTCCCTTTTTTTGAAAGATTAATAACAGCATCTAGTAGTGGTGATTTGTGCTATCCAAGTAAAAAATGTCATCTATTGCATTGTCCAGGTGTCTGTCGTCATACAAAAACTTCTGAATAAAGATCTAGAGCACGGGTGTCCAACCCGCGGCCCGCGGGTCGCATGCGGCCCAAGGCAAGTTCCAATGCGGCCCAATAATCGTGTAAACAAAACCGACAAATGTTTTAATTTTTTATTATTTATTTATTTCAATGGAATAAATTCAAAAAAAGTTTCACAAAGCCGTAACTATTTTTGAGTGGAAAGAAAATATTTTCAAATACTGTACTTGGAGATGTGTGAATGCGGAGGGATTACTAAATAAAGCTGGAGTTGTGACTCAAAGGATTATGGACCCTAATTTGGGAAAAGGAGAGAAGGATGAGAAAGGAGAAAAGATGTAGTAGTTAGAAAGGTTAAATAGATCTTCTGTTCAGCAAATATGGACCCGTAATTTTTCAACCTTTTACACTTTTTTATCTTTTGTCCTTTGTCTTTTTTTCCCGCACTTGGGTCTATAATCCTTTGATTCACAACTCCAGCTTTATTTAGTATTTCTTCCAACGTTGCAAGATTTGGCTACATTGGGTCAAATGTGGCTACTTTTTTGGTTTGACGTAAAAAATATCATTTGGCGCTTTAACTGCTTTTTCGGCTACATATTATTTATAATTATATTAATTGAATAAAAACGCAGTTTAAAATGGCGTTTCGTCGCTTTTTATTAATGATAGATCCAAATAAAACAAATATTTGAGTTTTTCAAATAAATTTTCGTTTGTCTCTTTTATAATAAATGAATTTATCTATTTCTAAGTAAAAATTGAAAGTGTCTGTAGAAATAATTTTTTAGAATAACCTTTTTCTTCATAAAGTTTTAATACTTNGATTGAAAGGTTTGTACCTATCTCGTAGCACGGAGGAAAGACGCTACGAGGAGACCATTTTCCGGAAGTAAAGGAGCAAGTTAGCGTCATCGAGGTTATTCCGTTAGAAAAAGCGTAATCGGGCATGCAGGTTCCAGTGCATTCTCTAAAAAAGTTAGAAAAATAATTTAGCGCAAAAAATACAATTATTCGTTCGAATCAACAAGCAAATTGTTATCACAATCACTGATAAAATTTGCGGTCAATTGAGTCGAAGACTTACAAAGCGTGAGAACGATTTAAACAAGAGAGATATCCGGTGAGCGGAGGATTGGGTTTCCGACATCTATTTTCGATGGCTGCAAAAATATTGCAATAAAAGTTTTAAGAGAATTTACATTTAAAAGAAGAAAATAAGTTGTACTCGAAATTTTATTTATTTATATTTATACTTTATTTTATTTTATTATTGATATATTTTTATTTATTTATTTATACAATTATAACAAATGTCGTGGAAATATAAGTTTAAATTAATCATTAGATACTCGTTTAGCCATTATTTTTCATTTCTGCGTAAATATGATAATTTGCTAGTAATGTGTTCGCGGTATTAAGTAGTAGTGAATCGTGTATTACTCACATTCCCCTTACTTTGCTTATGTTTGTATTGTTCTTATTCTGTATAAGTTACTCGTTTTTTATTTTTGGTTATTGAGAATGATTTTCACACATGGTCTTTAATAAACTATGCTACTAATTTGATACTGAAGATACATATTATTTTACGTAATTTTAGACAGCGAAACAATAGAAAACAATGGGACTGTCCAATTTTTCGAAACGATGTTCTTCACAGAACTAAAGTATAATACACACATTGGTTGTATTATAATGAATGTAACTTAATTATAAAACTCTACACATGTAAGCGAAAACAATATTAATATGCTTTTCGTTCATATTTAAACATAAATATAACTTTAATTGAACTAAAACTTTAAATAAACAAAAATTTTAACTTTGGCAAGTATTATTATTAGACTTTTTGGTCTCAAGAACTAGACGTCCTCAATTTGTTACTTGGTTTCTTTAGAACAGTGTTTCTCGACGGGGGCGATATCGCCCTCATGTGGGCGTTTTTCCATGTTGAGGGGACGATTAGTAACAATTTATATTTTGGGGGAGGAAAAACAATTTTCTGGGCGATATAGTAAAACATTATAGTAAGAATAATTAGATATTTTATTCGTTATATCGTACAATAATTAAACAAATAACATTATACTAGTCACTAGTCTATTCAACGCAGTACGAATTTGNGTTTTGGCGGAAAAGTGAAATATAGGGACATACATGTCCATTTTTATATATATATATATATATAGATATAGATATAGATATACTTGTGGCCCAAAACTCCTTGACTGCTTCCAATGCGACCCAGAGAAACAAAAAGGTTGAATACCCCTGATCTAGAGCATTATTTCTACAGCCAAATCAGAGAAATATAGTCATTGCCCTTGCTGAAGAAATAAGCCTTATGAAATTTTTGTTGGAAACCACTGTAAAGCTAACCTATGTAAGCGAATTTTGTAATAGTATCTCAATTGTCGCGCTACCAAGAAAGGTAGTACTAGTTGTTCTGCATGTTTGTAAATACAGTGGTACCTCAGGATACGAACGTCCCAGAATACGAAATTTTCAGGATACGACATGAAATTCGAACATATTTTTGCTCCACGATACGAACAAAAACTCGTCATACGACGTTACATTAGTTCGCAGTGCCATTTTTTTTATTCACTTCTGTTTATCGGTCTCAGTCGGCGTGTTTATTTCGTCGTGGAAGGATCTCGCTCGATAAAGGAAATCTTGAGGTATTATCAGAAAGTAACTGATTTTATTGAAAAGAAACAGTCCAAAAAGGTTCACACTGGCCGTACTGCTGCTCGGAGTAATGACATTTGCCTAAGTCATTTTAGAAACATTTTAAAAAGTAGGCAAAGCCAAACCTCTATGAATAGATATTTTACCAAGCGACCTCTATCCAGTGAAAGTGCTGGTGGAAGTGAAGGAAAGAAAGCAAAAAGCAGTGAATAAAAATTAAAAAAGAAAAAAATAAGATAAAAAATTAGTGTCGTTTTATAAGTTATTTTTAAGTTATTGTTGCATTATGTTATGCAAGTTTTTAGTATCATTTCCCTTCTCCCTCTCTTTCGCCACCAGTTTACACCTTCACCGTCGTCAATCCTCAAAGGTAAGGTGCAAATAAAACTACATTTTTTTTAATCAATTATTATTCTATTATGGTTATTTATATATTTAGAACTACAAAACGCATTTTTCAGTGTTTTCCTTACTATACTTTTTTTTAATGTACTACTTAGCTTTAATTTGAGTGTGTTTTGGTGTTGGAACGAATTATTTGGTTTTACATGTAATCGTATGGGAAAAAATGATTCACCTTACGATATTTTCATGATACGATCTCAGTTTCGGAACGAATTAATTTCGTATCCTGAGGTACCACTGTATGTATGTAATCAGTTTTGTTTATTAATTGCGTTACTGGCACTCACGAATCCCCTAATCCCTTCCCACTATCCTATCTAGCTATATTTCGTCTTCACTATCACTTCTTAAAAACACTTTATTTCTTCCTTCACTTCCGATTCCGGGGCTATACCACTGAGTGCGGCCCGTATTAACCTCTATGTATGTATGTCGTTCACATGTAGTTTGGTCTCTTAACAGTAAAATATATTTTTTCTCCTAAAATCAATTTATTTTGAAGATACACTGAAGTTAAAAATTGTATATATTATAAATATGATTGGAAAATATTTTATTTTGAGGAACAAAGCCTTTGTTTGTTCTGAATTAAAAGTTTTTCTTTCACAAATAAGTAGTGTTTATTTTTTAAAATTTATTTTGTATTGGATTTTTTCGACAGATTGATATTTGACAGAGTCCATACCTATCAGTCCTTGTTTTAAAATGACTGATCATTCTGATGTCAACGCTTTTTAGTTTGAAGGGAAATTCGCTGATTATATGTAAATACATTTTTAAAATCAATTTTGCATATATCGTTTACGTTTCTATACGCGAATGCGATTCAAGTAATCGTACACGAATCATCAGTATGGACATCAACAATCTACACTTGATGATGTCATGAAGTCTGTCGACAGGCCTTGTTTTCTAGGGGGTGTTAATTAATGCCGATGGTTGAATGCACTGGTATTGTACTCGGTGGTTCAAATCCAACGCCTATGCATACAGCTACGTGATTGATACGACATTAATCGGTACGGGTTTCGAATCTGCACTATTTAGTAGCAAATTAATAATAAATTACAAGGTCCACCAGTCCATATATCAGCCAGGGAAATTTTTGAGTCTGAACGCAAGCTGAAAATCCAAAATTTGCTTCACGACCAACCTCGGTTAAATATGTATCATTTATTGCAGAAATTAACAGGAATTTCGTTAATAGGAGATTCTAGGGTTTCTTCAGTTTTATTACAACTCTTCGCGATAACATTCGTAATTGAAGTATTATTTAATTTAATTTAATTCTCGCATTCATTCGTTTGCATATTATTTACACGTCAAACATCATCGCTGTAAATAACACCGTTACGTAACATAAACAACGCTTCTTAAAATCCGACCCCTAGGTCCGGAAAGTGGGAACGCCATTCCATGATCTCGGGTGGTGGCTAAAGGGGCTCTGATACACAAGATAATTCTATAAATGTTTCCGTGAATATTCCTGGAGAGCGACATAAGAGATGTTAGTAATACGGTGCTAAACCTTACACAGATACAGTTGTACAAATTTCCAAAAAATTTGTATTTAATGTTCGTGTGGTTGCTTTGAACATCAATCACAGACACAACACTTTTTGACCTTTGAAGATCTTCGCTCAATTAAGAAACATAAAACATAAAATATTTTTGTATTTTTTTCTATTTCTGTTTTTTTGTATTTTTGCTTCTGTCATACGTTTCTGTACTGAAGATATTCCTTTTGACGTAAGTAGAGATGTTCGATGGATACAGTATTTAATAGTTTTAAGGGCGTTATAAAATTTTTGTGTATTTTCGAACTGTATGAATTGTCGATATCCTGTTTACTGTAATATCGAGAAAATTGATTTTCTGTTACTTTCTATTTCCAAGCAAAAGATGATTTATGATATTAGCGCAATCTAATATGATTTCTGGGTTAGTCAATGTACTGTAGGGTCATAAATTATCAGACAGTCGTCTACGTATCTATTGTAGAATACAGTCCCCCAGTAAATTAAACTACAATTTTGATTATTTTATTTTAAAATTAACAAACAGTCAAAGAGTATGCAATGAAGTCTTCTTTTGTTTTTTCTCACACCTCGAGAAAATACAGGTATGATATATATATATTATTGTGTTTCAAATTCTGTTGTTTGGACATTTACACATTAACATTTTTTAAAAACTTTCTGCCCTGTGGGAATGAAGAGGACTTCATTAAGCAAGCCAATTATGGATTCGGCCAGGCCCACAATGGGGTGGCCGAATGTTAAAGAACGGCGGCTGATATGGTGCACGTTTACATTGAATGACGTTGCCGCAAATAGCCAAAACAAGTCGTTATCTGAAAATTCTTCATATACAGTCGATTCCTCTAAAAGACGGTAGATACGTTCCGTTCTTTATGAATCAATTTTGTAGGAGTCATTGCCAATCACAGCCCGACACGTGTGAAGTTTACGGACTACGGCTATTTGAAAGGTTTTCTTCCATAAAATTAATCGATTCTAGACTAATTNCTAAAAGTTATTTTGAATTTATTATTATTATTATATATTAGATTTGTTTAATATATTTAATCTTATTTAGAATAATAGAGACTTACACAAAAAGAAAAATTTATAGTCTTTTTTCCCCCTGGTTCACAGACCAATTCAGAAGTAACAATTGGCTTGAAGAAATAAAAATCTGTTTAAGACAGCAAAAAATAAAATATAAAAAATACCACATAGTTAAAACATGATCAAAATTCCGACCTTTTATTAGAGGCTAAGGCGCTTTCACAATTAAACAATGATTAAAAATTCTACCTGCTTTAACTGCTTCAAGACACGGTAGATATTGTAAAAAATTTTAATCACCGTTTAATTGTGAAAGCGCTGTAGCCTCTAATAAAAGGTCGGAATTTTGATCATGTTTTAACTTTATGGTAATTTTTAATATTCTATTTTTTTTTGCTGTTTTAAGAAGATTTTTATATTAAGTCAATTAACTGTAACTGTTACTTCTGAATTGGTCTGTGATCCAGGGGGAAAAATTATAAAAAATTTATACATTTTTTTGTGTAAGTCTCTATTATTCTAAATGAAGAAACTCCTGGGATATGTCATGTTCTCTTTAAATATTTTTAATGTTCTTATAATATAATCCATATGGATTGATAAAAATAAGCTTAGAGTCGAAACGGATATAAATTGAAAGTTGAAATTTGATACACCATTAGGGTACCAAATTTCAACTTTCAACCATGACAATGCACATTAAGAAGGGATTTTTTTTGAAATTTCCATCGCGGGGGAAAGGGAGAGAGTTAAGGCTTACCATGAAGAAGCCGACTTTTACTGTACTATTTTAGATGCGGTATTTTGCGTTTTTGCGGGAAATCGAACGTATATTTAGACAATCTAAAATTTTTTCAATTACCCTCGAAAGAGGGAGGCCAAATTCTTGCATTCGGTGAAAACGGTTAAGATCGGCTTTAGTCTAATAAGTTAATCTTAATGTTCGCTATCGTTACATTTTGCTGGGCAACGCTAGGCTCATCTGTAGGTATTGAATATAAATTCTTTCTCAGGTATTGGATTTCATCAAAAGATTTGGAAAAGTCTCCTTGTGTCTGTTGATTGGAGGTTTCTACAACGTCAATAAGAGAATCCCTCTAAAGGTAATTTTACAGATTCTATTGTTTAATTAAATATAATTATACTTCATTTTCCAGCGGTTTTGAAATTATGCGTGATATTAATACGCAATTTAAAAAAAAACATTATAAAAGAATTGGTAGTTTGTAGAAAATCCGTTTTTCGTTAAAAATTGTCATAAGATTATAGTTATGCTCTTTAACAGTTAATTGTATGCTTTACGGACGGTAATAACCATAATATACAATTATACCGTTAAATCTAATTTGATGGATTAAATAAGGCACAGATAATCAAGGCAATCCACCAAGGAGTGTACATCCCACGAAGGATTTTTCTGGAAAAATAGTTTCTATTTAGAACTGACTAAAAGAATTCGGAAAAACTACGCGTGGCCATCCGGTCTATGCAAACTCGTAGCCTTCCACCAATCTTCGATGGTTTCCTATATTCGGACACCGGTAAGCCCAACTGGATTTAGTGTACCTGCTTCGCAGAACATTCTTATTCTGAGATTATTCTTTTAAACACGCAGCTATTGAAATGAGGGTTTAGATTATAAAGCGGATTTAGTTTTCGGGCTTTCTTCTATATTCGAATTATGTTTTCATTTCTTTTTTATTGTTTATTATTTGCTCATATTCAAAACGAAACCAAACGGTTGCATAGCACTTAAGTGTATTGTGAATTGGTATGGATAAATTTATTCACACGAGATACAACTATGGCATTTACAAAAATTCTATTCAAATCACACAAGAATAAAAGTATTTATGACTTGTAATGCATATTGCCTAATTTAAAAACAGCTGTAATTTATTAATAGAACGATTTAGTCCTCATTAAGAATTTTATATTTTTTCACTTGTAGATGGCTTCAACACTACACTCCGTGTTCTCGGGATTATTAAAGTTGAAGAATGCAGAGAATTCTCGAAGAAGCTGTCGGCAGACGTTCACTAACTCCTCCGGTTAAATAGAAAACAACCGAACTTCATTCACGTGTGTCATCGCAACAGGAATAAAGGGCATACTACAGATTTGCCAGCGATCATCACACTTTAGTTAAAATTATTTTGTTATTTTTACGGATATTTCGAAATGAATTTTAGTTAAAAGAAAAAATAATAGATTAGAGTTAATCCAACTTTAANTTCCAGTTCCAGATTTTCTTGAGTGAGTTTGTCATCGGTTTGATCTTCTTTAACTGAAAAAGACATGACGATTTTTAATTTAAAATTTAAGAAAGCGAATTTACTGAAAACTTTTTATACTTGGGCCTATAAAATTTAAGACTATTTAGATTAAGTTCGATTTTCTTCTCTTTAATACGTATAGTATATACATGTATTAGTTTGATTCAAAATAAATAGAGTAGTTGTGGCTTAAACTTTTATCATTTAAATTATTGAAAGAAACAAAAAGTTGCACACCTTCGGATATGCAATCGGGAAACTTTTGCAAAGGGCGCCATTTTCCGTCTTCCTTGGAACAGCTTAATGTCATTTCGAATTCGTCGTTAGGAAAGCGATATCCTAATTTGCATCTGGCCACACAAATCCTATGCAATATTTGTTTATTTGTAAGCTAAATATATCGATTTACGTTGTCGGCATATAATTCTTTTACTTACTTATTTTTCGAAGTGGAATCGTCGGAACAAGAAATATATCCGCGCGATGGGGATCTAAGATTGTCGCAAACTAAAATATATATTATGATGTTAAATCACGAAAAAATTTATTATTAATATTATTTACATTCATCGATTACGTAGAGATTAAATTCTAAATTTTTCTCTTCATTCGCTGTTTTAAGCAATCGCCATTTTCAATTTTTGCCTTTATAAAATTATAACGAATTTCTAATCGTAAAAATATCATTTAATTAAATTTTTAAACTTTTTTTTTAATTAAAAATTCAATTTAACGACATGTCGATAAAAATGACAAGGTTTAATTTTTATTTAGTTTCGAATGTTTTGGGTGTTAAAAGATTTTTCGTGTAACATAAACGGCAGAAATTTTAGTATTTTTATGGATTCTACTATAATTTTTATGCATTATATATTATAATAAACGTATCAAAGGGTCGTGGTCGTATACGTTATAATTCACAATTTATACGATAACAATGAAAGAAGTGTTAGCGGATCCACTTCCTTTTTATGATGTCGACTTTGGTGACCTTCCACTCGCTTCTTTCATGTAGAAATCAATCGCTTGGTAACGCGCTACCGATTTACACTTTAAATTCAATCGGGTAAAAACTCTTATTTGATTTATCATTCAGACCGTAACAACGTCAAAAAGGAAATAAATTTGAATTGTTCGAAAAAGTAAACAGTAAATCAAGTTTGAATTGGTCTAATTAAAACGTAAAAATCCTTGAGGAAAATCAATNAAAAATATATAAATTTTTTATAGCGTCTTCTTTTTCCTGATTCACAGATCAATTCAGAAGTACAGTAACAGTTAATTGGCTTGAAGAAATAAAAATCTGCTTAAGACAGCAAAAAAATAGAATATTAAAAATTACCACAAAGTTAAAACATCATCAAAATTCCGACCTTTTATTAGAGGCTAAGGTGCTTTCACAATTAAACAATGATTAAAAATTCAAGCTGCTTTAACTGCTTCTAGCTCTCTGGTGGCCCTTCTGGACCAACAGAAGGCTAAAAGCAGTTAAAAGTGCTACAAGACACAGTAGATATTGTGAAAACTTTTAATCATTCTTTAGTTGTGAAAGCGCTGTAGCCTCTAATAAAAGGTCGGGATTTTGATGATGTTTTAACTTTGTGGTAATTTTTAATATTCTATTTTTTTGCTGTCTTAAGCAGATTTTTATTTCTTCAAGCCAATTAACTGTTACTGTACTTCTGAATTGATCTGTGAATCAGGAAAAAGAAGACGCTATAAAAAATTTATATATTTTTTTGTGTAAGTCTCTATTATTGTAAATAAGATTAAATATCTTAAACAAATCTAATTCATAATAATAATGATAAATTCAAAATAACTTTTAGCTTTTGTCGCAAATCCAAATCGCAATTTACAAATCGTCGAATGTCTTGAAATCCGCTTTGCATCTAAAATATTAAAACAAATTCAANACATTATTTAAAATATCCTTTTTCTTGATAAAGTTTTAATACTTATTATTATAATCTAGACATGTTAATTTTTAAATATACTTGTGTATTGGGCCACAAGTATATATTATATCAGGGGTGGCCAACCTGCGGCTCGCGAGCCACATGCGGCTCTTTGAAGGATTATTTGTGGCTCTCGATAGATGTACCCGAATTCCCTTTTTGTTTTTATGTTATTATATTTAAAAAAATTGTTTTCGTTCCGTATGTGTTTCAAAATGTCTTTTAAATTACTAACAACAAATATGAAAGACTAAGTGCAACGTTGTAACAAATTTCATTTCCGTCCAAGTTAAGAATGATATGACTCATCNTTCTGGACCAACAGAAGGCTAAAAGCAGTTAAAAGTGCTACAAGACACAGTAGATATTGTGAAAACTTTTAATCATTCTTTAGTTGTGAAAGCGCTGTAGCCTCTAATAAAAGGTCGGGATTTTGATGATGTTTTAACTTTGTGGTAATTTTTAATATTCTATTTTTTTGCTGTCTTAAGCAGATTTTTATTTCTTCAAGCCAATTAACTGTTACTGTACTTCTGAATTGATCTGTGAATCAGGAAAAAGAAGACGCTATAAAAAATTTATATATTTTTTTGTGTAAGTCTCTATTATTCTAAATGAAGAAACTCCTGATATATGTTATGTTGTCTTTAAATATATTTAATGCCCTTATAATATAATCCTGATGGTTTGACAATAATAAGGCCAGAGCAAAAACGGGTATAAGTTGAAAGTTGAAATTTGGTACACCATTAGGGTACCAAATTTCAACTTTCAACCATGACAATATACATTAAGAAGGGATTTTTTTTTTTGAACTTTCCATCGTGGGGAGAGGGAGAGAGTTAAAGCTTACCCTGAAGAACTCGACTTTTACTGTACTATTTTAGATGCGGTATTTTGCGTTTTTGCGGGAAATCGAACGTATATTTAGACAATTTAAAAATTTTTCAATTACCCTCGAAAGAGGGAGGCCAAATTCTTGCATTCGGTGAAAACGGTTAAGATCGGCTTTAGTCTAATAATATTAATGTTCGCTATCGTTACATTTTGCCGGACAACGCCAGACTCATCGGCTGGTATTGAATATAAATTCTTTCTCAGGTATTGAATTTCATCAAAAGATTTGGAAAAGTCTCCTTGTGTCTGTTGATTGGAGGTTTCTACAACGTCAATAAGAGGATCCCTCTAAAGGTAGTTTTACAGATTCTGTTGTATAATTAATTATTAGACTTCATTTTCCAGCGGTTTTGAAATTATGCATGATATTAATACGCAATTTAAAAAAAAAAAGAAAAAAAACATTATAAAAGAATTGGTAGTTTGTAGAAAATCCGTTTTTCGTTAAAAATTGTCATAAGATTATAGCTATGCTCTTTAACTGTTAATTGTATGCTTTACGGACGGTAATAGCCATAATATACAATTATACCGTTAAATCTAATTTGATGGATTAAATAAGGCAGAGATAATCAAGGCAATTCACGAAGGATTGTACGACTTACGATTAATTTTTCTGGAAAAATGGCTTCTATTCAGGAGTGACGAAGAGAATTCGGAAAAACTATTTTCAAACTCGTTACTAACTACGAGTGTTCGATGGTTTCCTGTATTCGGCTACCGGTTAGCTCAACTGTTTTCTGATACAGAACACTAATTCTGAAACCATTCTTTTAAACACGCGGCTGTTGAAGTGAAAATTTAGATTATAAAGCAGATCTAACGATTGCGCTTTTTCCAATATGCGAACCATGTTTTCGTTTGTTTCTTGAAGTTTATTATTTTTTTTGTATTCTAAACAAAGATAACTCAGAAGCATAGCACGTATCTTTACTTAAATATTATGTGAATTGGTATGATTAAATTTATTCACACGAAATACAAGTATGGCATTTACCAAAATTCTGTTCAAATCACACATGACTAAAAGTATTTATTACTTGTAATGCATATTGCCTAATTTAAAAACCGCTGCAATTTACTAATAGAAAGATTAGGTCCACATTAATAATTTTATATTTTTTCACTGGTAGATGGCTTCAACTCTACACTCCGTGTTCTCGGGATTATTAAAGTTGAAGAATGCAGAGAATTCTCGTAGAAGCTGTCGGCAGACGTTCACTAATTCCTCTGGTTGAATAGAAAACAACCAAACTTAATTCACGTGTATCATCGCAACAGGAATAAAGGGTATACTACAGATTTACCAGCGATTATCTCAGTTTAGTTAAATTTATGTTTTTATTTTAACGGATATTTCGAAATGAATTTTAGTTAAAAACTGTACACGTTGTAATAATGTACAGTACATATGTAATTATTTGGAACACCTTTCGTACAGTTTAATTAGAAGGATAAACAGTACAATTAGTGATTGTTATATTTGTAAATATTGGTAATTTAANATAGAAATAGTGGACGAGATACATTTAATAAAAAATGTCTAACAAATTTATAGAGTTGGCTTATGTTGTCTTCTATAAATAATTTTTGTAAGGAAACTTTTATTTTACATTAATTTTTAAACTCTTTCTTTTAGTATAAATAATATTCTTAGTAGAAACTTTGTAGTTAAATAAAAACAACAATAAATTGTTCAAATATATTAGTCGTCTATTAAGAAGATATTTAATTTTTAAGAAGTTTGGATAGTTGTACTGTATGTACTGTACTGTACTTAGCAAGAATATTTACTAATGCTTTTTTAAATAAATTTATCAAAACGAAAATCAAACTATATAAATAATAACCAACATTTTCACTATAATTACTATTTTAACTTACTAAATTTTCTGCATGTAGGAAATTCAGAATAGGGATGCCAAGTTCCGTATTCTCTTCGACATTGAAGAACTAACTCTCTTATTCCCGTTGGAAAATAGTGATTTCTCTTGCATGTACCGGTGCAGTTCCTATAAAAATTTATTATAATATCTTAATTTTGCTTTAGCATTTAAGGGCTTTTATAGCTTTATTTAAAAAAAAAAAACTTTGATTTAGTGAAAATTGTTAGGGAAATAAAGCCATTCGATTTAAAGCCGTAATTGACTCTTACATTGTCGATGCGTCGTAAGAGCAATCGACGTATCCATTTTCGGGAGCATTTCTCCTTCCGCACCTGCTTATAGTTTCTGAAAATAAATCAAAACGTCTTACAAATGCGCTTGTTCATTTATTAAAAAGAAATTTGATGGCGAAATGAGAAAAGAATTGTCTTTTTAGATGAATTTGTTGCATTGTTTGTAATCTGGCACGCAATAAAAATAAACACGTACTTTATTTGATCACCCGATTTAAGAAAAGCGTCACGTTCTTCTAAAATAAAAAGCAGACAAAAAATACGAGAACAATTTTATCTAACAATTTTCTAAATAAAGTATTAATGGAAATGGTAAGGTGAATAAAATGCAGAAATGAATAAACGTGAGAAATGAAGATAGAGTATTAAAGAATGAAAACGATGAAAGATTTACATTTTCTATTGTTGATACTTAAAACTAATTTTGCTGAACTTCTCTCGTTAAGGTATGAGAATACTCGACGAAAGAGTACGATGACAGACGGAGGAATCGAAAGAGATGGAAAATGCGTTTAGTGAATCGGATAATGAAGAAAAGTGCCAATCTTGTATCGATGATTTATAAAGTATTTCAAACAGATCTAACACTAATTCTTGTCAAAATTTTAACTAGAATTTTTATATTTATGGTCTTTAAAAACTTTCAGAAGATAAAGACTTTATTGACATCATCGATACATTTTTACAGCATCTNAATAAATGTTTCTTTTATATTTTTCATAAGAAAACTACATGAGCTAATACGATCTGGCTTTAGTTTATGTAACTTACTAAACGTACCATGTTATTCCATGTTATATCTAAAAATTAATAAAGCACTTTCAAATTTCTACAGAAATAACTTGATACAATTCTCCATTATCAATTTATAGAGATAAAAAATATGAATATTTACAAGGCATTTTGAACTAAAAATAAAAGCAAAATCGATCTTTTTTTTTATTTATAATAACATAAATATTAGGCCTATATTATGTACGCTGTGCTAAAATATATATTGTATTTATTTTTTATGATATAATTGCTTAATATGGCAACACTCATTAAGCCACATAAAAGTTATCCAAGTGAAGACATTAATTTCTTGGAATAAGTTAAATCTTTCAAAAATGAATAATCGTCTTCATAATAATATAAAGACTATTAATCGAATCATATGCCGACAATTTAACTAATTCCACTTATTCTGTGTGCATCTCTACTAGCAATTGTCTACATTAATTTCAAGAAACATTTTTCTTCAAAATGATGCAGATTAAAGTAAGCTAAATTATATTTATCCAATTTAAAATTAGAGTATAGAAATATTAAGTAGAATTACGTAAATATATTCAGTTTAATGTTTTTTATACATAAGGATAAAAAAGTAAAAATAGATTTACCTAAATCATCCTTTTCTTGATCTTCGTGTAAACTCGCCACTAAAAAAGATTAATAATAATGAAAACTTATACTATTCAAAATTTCGTTTCTGAAAGATCCATAAGTAATTGCTTAGCCGCAGTTGTTTTTAATCTTAACAGTTAATTTTGATATGTAATACGAACCAGACTGAGAACAAATAGGAAATTCTCTTCGAGGGTACCACAATCCGTCGTCGGTTCGACATCGAAGAACCATTTCTCTTTCTCCATCGGGAAAGTAATATCCTCTTCTGCACCTCCCCGTGCAATTCCTACCAAAATATCCCTCTTTAAATACAATCCCATTTTGGGTACAGCAATAATGATTCGATCATTCTTTCGAATCAAATGTATATTTCCGTCGCTCAATACTGATCTGATAAAATGTAATAAAAATGAAAATCTTACATTCCTCGTGCATCGTGCGTGCAATGGACGTATCCGGATGTCGGATTCGTACGTCTGCTACATCTTCTTAAAGTTTCTGAAAAAGCATTAGAATAAAATGTTTATTATTTGCAATTGTTAAAATCAATTAATTTGGTTACAAACACATTTCGATATAAAAATATAGAAACTACGCCTTATTGATCAAAATACTTTTCTAGTATAGTTATACAGCAAAACTATCGGTTTAATGACACTATAAAATCTTTAACTCCTGTGTAAAATTGCACAAATTGAAAATATGTAGTGGCAATTCATTGCGAATACATTCTTATAATGTAATTTACATTTCGAATAGGAATATCCAGTTAAATAGAACTTCAATAATTACTCATTGCCACATGCCAATGCTATAGATCTAAAATTAAATTGATAAAATTTTTTAATACATGTATTTACCAAATAGTTGGTTACTCTCCTCTTCTTGATTTGGTTGTTGCAATGTTGAATCCACTTCGCTTCCGCTATCTAAAATTAAATCAAATAATCAAAATAATTACAACGAAATATAAATTCGAAATCAACTAAAATGTAAAGTGTTTCAAAATATTTCATTCTCGTAAAAATAACTTTAATTTTACGCTTAGTTTAAGTGGAAGTGTTATATTTTTAGGTTGTAAGCAAGTACGATCAACGAATTACGAGCGGAACAGACTGCTAATTGGATACCATTTTTCATTTCAATCGAAGACTCTGTGACTCTGTATTATAAGCGTGTGGAAAACGACGATAATTTTACTTAGAATTATATACTGTCATTTTTAAAATGTAAATTTCCAAATAAATTTACAGAATAATTCTAATTTTAAGTTACGGTCATATATACGTTAATTTAATATCAGGAATAATTCTACTTTAGGTCTTAGGATTTGTTTCGTTTTTTATCCTAGATAGTATTTCTAATCTCTTCATCTATTTCCAGGTCGATCTATCTCCCTCTTTCCTCAAAACTAATTTAGGAGAGCGGTTGTCGTTCATTATAATTAGGTGATCTTTCCATTATATTTGATATGATTTATTGTTATCTACTGCTATATTGTGTATTTTTAGTATTTTTTTCTTTTTAATCTAAACTAAGTTGCTTATTTAATTTAATAAGATTTGGCAATGGTCTAAAAACTCTCATAATTGTACGGATAAAGTTGATAAAGAAAATGAAAACTGTTCGTGATAGTGACGACTATTTACCGCATATGACCGTGAATTAAGTTATTTTCCTGCTTAAGTAAGGACTCTGCATTAGCACAAATCTTATGAAAAATGTGTTTCGGTAGATTTGGTTGAATCGTTGATAATTTGTAGTTTTAGTGAAGCCTAATTTTAGTAAAAGCCGCATAAGTACAAAGTCAAAGATGGACAGTTTTTGAGTTATCCAGCGTTCAAGATGCAAATGATATATTTTTTGCTTCCTTTCATGATATTGCATTGAAGTTTATACATATTCTCGACAGATAGTGGCCTGATATAGGACAGTAGTGGCCTAAAAATTCTCTCGCGTATTTGAACAGCAATGTTGCGTTTGTCGAAATGTTCATCTCCACCTAGTCTATCCAATTGCCATAGAAGTAATACTTTAGCTCAAATGTGAATTTCAAATAATATTTGAAATTCACATCAAACTACTGTATTTCAGAATTATGAAAATTAATAATTAATATTTATAAAGAAAAATTTGAATTCTTTTCACTTTTAGTCTATCTCATATAGATGATATATTAGACAACATCAGTAACATTTGAAAACATATTGTTTTATATTTTGAAAAAACATTTAAAACTTCACAACAATTACATTTTATTAGATCAGTATTGAGTGACGGAAATATATATTTGATTCGAAAGAATGATCGAATCATTATCGCTGTGCCCAATATGAGATTATTTTTAAAGCGAGATATTTTGGTAGGAATTGCACGGGGAAATGCAGAAGAGGATGTTACTTTTCCGATGGAGAAAGAGAAATGGTTCTTAGATGTCGAACAGACGACGGATTGTGGTACCCTCGAAGAGAATTTCCTATCTGTTCTCAGTCTGGTTCGTATTACAAATCAAAATTAATGGTGTTTTTGCATCTTGGATGCTCAATAACTCAGAAACTGTCTATTTTTTTTTTTTATCAGACTTGATCAAAATCACTAAAACTACAAAATATCAAAGATTCGTCCGAATCTACTGGGACTCATTTGTGCGGGTTTTTTATGGCTTTGAAATTTGTCTTAAAATAATCATTATATTACATAACATACATAGAAATACCGTGCAATGTCATAACTAGGTAGGTACTGTACTGTACAACGAGTGAACAGACACAGGGACCAGGAGAAGCAAAGTTCTAAAATGGTGTATCAAAAATTGATCAGTGTAATATTATTATTTTCAAATTTTAAATTTTGCAGCCGTGAGAACCGTTTTTGGAGAAACTTAAAAAACAGCCGACCATTTCTATCGTATTTACATTTTGTATCTTTTCTAAAAAAAAGAGGGAGCTAAAAATAAAGTATTGCAGAGGACACACGAAGAGCTAATCACACCACTGATACTAAATCAATCCGAACTAAAACTAATTTAATCGTTTTTAAATGAAAAATAATAATTAAAAACAACACTGCGATTCTGTAGGCATGGTGATTTTATGGTAATTGCAAAATTCATACTTATTAGTAAATAGACACAAACCTTGTTCTGAACATCTTGGGAATTCCGATCGAGGATACCAGATCCCGCTGTTCGTTCTGCATTGTAAAATCATTTCACTTCTTTCGTTTGGAAAATAATAACCTGTTCTGCACGTTGCTGTACAATTCCTGAAACATTTATGTTAAAATTTTCATTAGTACTAAAACATTCTTCATTTTCAGAGATATTCTATAGAAAAAACTCGAACACGCTAATACTGACTTAATAGAAAATACGCTTGAGATCAATTATAGAAAAATGTTTCTTTCAATAATGCTTTAATACAATTTCTAAGGATAAATCGTATTACAGATATGTAAATAAAGTTAAAATAAATCAATAGTGTTAGCGTTAATGCTGTATTGAGGTACTGTACGCTAAATATAATACGAGGTCTGTTCAAAAAGTATCGGACTTTTATTTTTTTCGCGTAAACCAATGATGCGTGGGAGGCCTCTTTCGGTGGAGTTGTGGAGGGGACAGTCATGCACAGCCCTGAATTTTTTCCCGCCTGCAGGAAGCGTTAGTCGTTGGCAGTCGGCCTATGAGTGAGGACTTGTAGCGAGCTCTCGTCGGATTCTACTAAGTTGGAAAATGACTGAACAACGTGAGCAACGATATTACATCAAATTTTGCCAAAAACCTTGGCGATACCCGAGCGTAAACCATTCGCAAGATTCAGCAGGCTTTCGGGGACGATCCTCGAGGCCAAAAAAAGCGCGGCAGGTCCGCAGCAATGTCAAGGTCATGTTGACAGTTTTTTCGACTCTCGTGGGGTGGTGTATCATGAGTACGCACCACGAGGCAAAACCATCGCAAAGGAGTACTACCAGGAGGTCCTTCGTCGTCTTTCCGATGCTGTGCGACGCAAACGACCGGATCTGTGGTCGATCAAAACTTGGCAGCGCCATCGTGATAACGCATCCGCCCATTCTGCGCATTTGATTCGGGCTTTCGTCACCAAACACAACACTCCTATGGTTCGTCACGCTCCGTACTCTCCCCATATGGCTCCGTGTGACCTTTGGCTATTTCCCAAGCTGAAAATGCCGCTAAAAGGAACCCGATTTTAGTCGAGAGAAGACATCGTGCGGAATGCGACGGACCAGCTGATGGCCATTCCAAAAGATGTGTTCCAGCAGTGTTTCCAGCAATGGCAGGAACGATGGGAGAAGTGTATGGCAAGGAGACTAGTTTGAAGGGGATTAAGGTTTTGTACCTCAAAATCAATAAATGTATTTTTGCCGACCAAAGGTCCGATACTTTTTGAACAGACCTCGTATATTTTGTGAGAATCCGTAATCGTTTTTAAATATATTTTTCGGAAAGATTTTACAATTTTAAAAAATGATCTCGCAGCTCTATTAATTCGGTATTGTGACCAATTATCCACCATCTCGTTTTGTCGGTTTTAACTTAATTCGTTCTATATTGGGAAACTGTTGTACCTTGAGCATAGTGTAACTTGGAACATTTTCGTGATTGCTACTTGTGATACCTATCGAGAAAACAATCCAAACGCCTAGTAACATTGTCTCGGGTAATTGTGTAATAAAATTTTTAGTCGGGTAGCCAGTATTTTGTAGACGCCATTGTGGTAAAAAGCTTTTGTTGTCTGTCACTAAAATTCTAATGTTGATATTTAAGTTTTTCAGAATAACAGATATCATCGAACGGAAAAATTGGTGGTATTAGACAATCAATTTTTTCCTTACGGAATAGATAGAGATATGTAAGATGAAATGATATTCTCAAGTTTCCAACGTTAATTAGAGACAACAAATTTACTTTTCGTCGCAAGTGCACCCTCTTGAATTTTAAAACGCACAAGCATCTTGTATTATATGTCAAAAATTGCTCGTATTCAGCGTTTTAAAATATTACCTCACATTATTTTTCAGACGAAAATGCCGAGCAGTAAATACGGTATGAAGAGGTCAACAATAAATACAGAAGTTTTGAAAAACACTACTGAACCGTCACAGGTCTTTCAGTGTGCATGACTCAATCCCGTCTTTGCACTCCGCAATGCTGTTGCAAATAGTAAAAAGTATCCAGACAAATGGAATTATGTTTTAGAATTAATTGTTGCATTATGCTATACTAATTTATTTTTATGTTGAATGCTGTATAAACTGTAGTGTTTTAAGGTAAAATAGAGTAGTTTTAAGGTAAAATTGAACCTAGAAACATCTTTAAAATAAAAACAAAAATTTTCCCCACATGTCGATTCAGGAATAATGATTCTATTAGATATATATATAAAGGATGGAAGTTTCTCATTTTAGCAAAAGAAATAATAGGTTTGTTTATTGGTTGCTAATGGTTTGTTAAAAAAAAAAAAAAAAGTGTTTTAAGGTACAACAGCTTCCCCTATATTCATTTAGTGGTGTCTAGTATTTCATCATAAAAATTATAGTAAACCTAACATAAAGATAAATTAGGCCACAAAGTTTAATTTATAAATTGAAGAGTAAGGTAATCATACATATATAAGAGAATAAAAATAATTATAAGTATTCTGAATCCCATAAAACAGAAAAAGAAAAGAATTACACTTTTCTCAGGGTTTTAAAACTTCGGGTTTGTCGTCTCTATTCGGTTCTATTTAATCTAAAATTTTTAATGTTTTAAATAAAGTTTCATTTATTGTATGTGAAAAAGCCAAAACTTCCCTATTTAGTAAGACACTTTGCAACTTTTGCAACTTTTGGGAACAGAATCCCCTTATAACATGTAATTATTGATGACTGAATGGACAGCTATTAAAGTGTCAGCCTATTGCTTTGGTGAAACCGGAAACGAATCCGAACGGGTAGAAAAATCCCATAAATTATACGGAGTGCTGTCTTGTCCATTAGGCACGTTAAGCACATTTCTTATACTCTACAAAATTAAAAACTGAGAAAATGGAAGTTTATGAGAATTAAAATAAAAACATTAAATTTTTGTTTAGTCAACTTATTTTATATACTTCACTTTCCGCGTGAAAAATCTTTAATAATTTCTTCAATTGACAGCTCTTTTATTTTTTCAATTTATTCTTTCAGTTGACAGCTCATATTTATCTGTACTTTTCGTAGAAAATGAAATATTAAATTTTCTATGAAAAGTACAGATAAATATGATAATTTGCTAGTAATGTGTTCGCGGTATTAAGTAGTAGTGAATCGTGTATTACTCACATTCCCCTTACTTTGCTTATGTTTGTATTGTTCTTATTCTGTATAAGTTACTCGTTTTTTATTTTTGGTTATTGAGAATGATTTTCACACATGGTCTTTAATAAACTATGCTACTAATTTGATACTGAAGATACATATTATTTTACGTAATTTTAGACAGCGAAACAATAGAAAACAATGGGACTGTCCAATTTTTCGAAACGATGTTCTTCACAGAACTAAAGTATAATACACACATTGGTTGTATTATAATGAATGTAACTTAATTATAAAACTCTACACATGTAAGCGAAAACAATATTAATATGCTTTTCGTTCATATTTAAACATAAATATAACTTTAATTGAACTAAAACTTTAAATAAACAAAAATTTTAACTTTGGCAAGTATTATTATTAGACTTTTTGGTCTCAAGAACTAGACGTCCTCAATTTGTTACTTGGTTTCTTTAGAACAGTGTTTCTCGACGGGGGCGATATCGCCCTCATGTGGGCGTTTTTCCATGTTGAGGGGACGATTAGTAACAATTTATATTTTGGGGGAGGAAAAACAATTTTCTGGGCGATATAGTAAAACATTATAGTAAGAATAATTAGATATTTTATTCGTTATATCGTACAATAATTAAACAAATAACATTATACTAGTCACTAGTCTATTCAACGCAGTACGAATTTAGCGTTAGCCTTGGCCCTCGGCATCGGAATTTTGAAGTGAAGGGGCGATACTACGTAACGTTCTATTGAAGAGGGCAATACTAAGTTGAAGGGGGTGACGATTCGTTAGAGGTTGAGAAACACTGCTTTAGAATAAAATATTAATCCAATTTTTAAATTCCAAAATACTTTTACGTCGAGTTCAAAATAGCTATGGTTTTAATTGTTTCATTATTAAGATTTCACAACTTTTTTTATACTTAATAACTTTCAAAATTAAGTTTCCAATTCTAANTATTATCGTTCCGTATGTGTTTCAAAATGTCTTTTAAATTACTAACAACAAATATGAAAGACTAAGTGCAACGTTGTAACAAATTTCATTTCCGTCCAAGTTAAGAATGATATGACTCATCAAAAAGTGCGCAAACGAACATAAACAGTAGCGTAATCGTCCGTTATCGACCGACTCCAGACCGATTTTGAATTTGTAAACTGTCATTGCAATGGACAGTTGACATAGTGCTCTGGAGGAAACAATTTGTATCACTCTTGCTACGGATGCAATTTGTAATCTGAAATATTTTGCATACCTTTTTAATACGAATTTAATTGCGGCTCGTGAAAAATTTCAAATTTTGAAAAATGGCTCAGACTATCAAGGAGCTTAGCCACCCTGGTATTATATATACTTGTAAAACTCCTTGGCTTCTTCCAATGCGGCTCACAGAAACAAAAAGGTTGGAAACCCCTATCTTAAATGATTTTTAATGCGATTTATGTTGAAAAAGATCGTTCACCTTTAGAATTTGATCCTAAGATTGACATGCACTGTACTGTACAGTACATTCTAAGAGCAATATTCGTATTAGGAAAGTTAGATACTAAATTCTGCTCCTTTTGCAGCACAATAATTCTTGTATTATTTTGCAATCCGGAAATAATTTTGAAAATAAAAAAAATCATCCACAAATACATCACCTAAATTATTATTATATATTTGCACTAAAATTTTTGCCTTACTAATCACTTATCTAATCTAATTAATATAGAATCTTTTTAAATAACTAAATCTTAAAGCAACATCTTTGTTGGTCACACACTATTAAATACACGAACTTGTGCGAATTTGATAACGTTATGCAAAAGCACAAGAAGACAGGATACGTGACACTAATAAACCGTATAAAACAAAACCAAAACAAAATTATCCCGACCGATTCTGACTCATGCGACAGACGAGACAACAGGCGATATAACATACCAGACACTTCCTTTATATCATATTATAATTTATTGTTTAATTTAAAAATTGATGTTATGTATTCTATATTGTACTCGTATCTCAATTATAAAATACATAGTAATTATATCGTTTCAATTAAGATGCGTTAAATTATTTAGAAGGTACTTTAAAAAACGTTAACTTAAAGATTATATTTAAAATTTAAAAAAGTGCTTAGGGCTTACGATAAGCTTAATGCGGCTCTGAGTCCGGGAGTTGTTGGACTCGTCCCTAATCTACCAACCGCCCCATTTGGGCAGGCCGAACCCAAGATGGACTCAAGCAAAAAAGTAGAAAGAAACGTAATTATTGTTTGACTTTCTGGTATTCGGCTATCATATACATTTTTAGCCACTCGTAAAGTCCAAAATTGGAGTCTGCCTGTTTATATTTTCTAAAATTTAATCATAATAGCATATACATTATATTAAATGTCAACGTGTTTATGAATATTTCATCGTGTAAAGTGTCATTTTTATTTAACTATTTTGGAAAAACGCACTACTGTTTTTGACATATCTCTACGATTTATTACTCATAATGTATATTTAAATTGTTAACTTAAATAAAAATGATTTTGTAAATTTGTAGATGATCACATAAAAAGATTAATTTAAATTTTTTTCTTCTTTTTATTATAACAAAATTTATGCTACTATCTTTTAATATATAAGAAAAACGTGTTTCTAATTGATTATTTTATTGATTTTTGCTGTAAAAATGACTTTGCTTAAAAACAAATAAAAAAAAACTGTTTACAAATTTATTTCTTTTAATTTTCTTTAATGGGTATCGAAAATACTTTCAAAACTAACTTTTGTTAATTTAAAGTTCTTTAGATTATTAAGAAAATCTTTTATTATATAAGTTCGAATTAATTCAATTTATTTATTTTCGGGTTTTATTTAAATTCGAATTTATAAAAATTAATTGTACTTAAAGAAAAAAAAATTTATATATAAAATATATAAAAAATACTTACATAACTACGGCATCGTATTTGCAATTGACGTATCCAGCGTAGGGAGCTTTCTTCAATCCGCATTTATCCAAAGTAGCTTAAAATAATTTAATTTAACAAAAATATAAATGGAAATATTTTATTACAAAATAAATTTTGTATGTAATCGATATAAATACCTTGTAAGTCTTCCTCTATTTGGTTCGGTGTTTCTTCCAATTTATCAAAAACTGAAATAATATTAAGTTATAATCTTATAAATTATTTTTCTCGTTGTTCTATCATTTATAGTAAATGTCAATTATATAGAAATAGTGGACGAGATACATTTAATAAAAAATGTCTAACAAATTTATAGAGTTGGCTTATGTTGTCTTCTATAAATAATTTTTGTAAGGAAACTTTTATTTTACATTAATTTTTAAACTCTTTCTTTTAGTATAAATAATATTCTTAGTAGAAACTTTGTAGTTAAATAAAAACAACAATAAATTGTTCAAATATATTAGTCGTCTATTAAGAAGATATTTAATTTTTAAGAAGTTTGGATAGTTGTACTGTATGTACTGTACTGTACTTAGCAAGAATATTTACTAATGCTTTTTTAAATAAATTTATCAAAACGAAAATCAAACTATATAAATAATAACCAACATTTTCACTATAATTACTATTTTAACTTACTAAATTTTCTGCATGTAGGAAATTCAGAATAGGGATGCCAAGTTCCGTATTCTCTTCGACATTGAAGAACTAACTCTCTTATTCCCGTTGGAAAATAGTGATTTCTCTTGCATGTACCGGTGCAGTTCCTATAAAAATTTATTATAATATCTTAATTTTGCTTTAGCATTTAAGAGCTTTTATAGCTTTATTTAAAAAAAAAACTTTGATTTAGTGAAAATTGTTAGGGAAATAAAGCCATTCGATTTAAAGCCGTAATTGACTCTTACATTGTCGATGCGTCGTAAGAGCAATCGACGTATCCATTTTCGGGAGCATTTCTCCTTCCGCACCTGCTTATAGTTTCTGAAAATAAATCAAAACGTCTTACAAATGCGCTTGTTCATTTATTAAAAAGAAATTTGATGGCGAAATGAGAAAAGAATTGTCTTTTTAGATGAATTTGTTGCATTGTTTGTAATCTGGCACGCAATAAAAATAAACACGTACTTTATTTGATCACCCGATTTAAGAAAAGCGTCACGTTCTTCTAAAATAAAAAGCAGACAAAAAATACGAGAACAATTTTATCTAACAATTTTCTAAATAAAGTATTAATGGAAATGGTAAGGTGAATAAAATGCAGAAATGAATAAACGTGAGAAATGAAGATAGAGTATTAAAGAATGAAAACGATGAAAGATTTACATTTTCTATTGTTGATACTTAAAACTAATTTTGCTGAACTTCTCTCGTTAAGGTATGAGAATACTCGACGAAAGAGTACGATGACAGACGGAGGAATCGAAAGAGATGGAAAATGCGTTTAGTGAATCGGATAATGAAGAAAAGTGCCAATCTTGTATCGATGATTTATAAAGTATTTCAAACAGATCTAACACTAATTCTTGTCAAAATTTTAACTAGAATTTTTATATTTATGGTCTTTAAAAAGTTTCAGAAGATAAAGACTTCATTGACATCATCGATACATTTTTACAGCATCTTTAAGATGTTAAGTGTAAAGAAATAAACTAACCTGTTTTTGTAATACAAAAAATAAAGATTTCAATTATATAGAAATACCGTATAATCATTTGAAAAATTTGCTATTTTCATTTCAATGAAAAAAATAAACGTTTTACATTATATGTTACATTACATTACGGTACTTTATATTAGTATTAACATAAAGTGTTACATATTCTTCTTTCGATACAAGTCGTAATTTTTGATTAAAATAAAAACTAAATAACTGAATGTATTTTTTGCAACGAGAAAAGTTTAAAATCGATATCGCAGACACATATTCAACTTAAAAAATGTAATTTTACTATTAAAAATTTTTTAAAATTTACCACTTCTTGTACTTTTTCTTTAGTAAAAGATTTTCGTAATAGCCGATAATCAAAGTTAATAGTTACACCCGCTGTCAGTTATCGATTTTCATTATTAAAAAATCGTCTTAAAATCGATTCCAAAAAGTGTCGAGAGTGAATAATGTTACAAAAGAAGCTCGCGAGTCCCTAAAGTCGATTTTGTAATTTTAATCGGATTAAATAAATTTTTATATGAAAGAGTTTTGTTAGTTACGGAAGAATGACGAAGATGATATTATGCATATTCACTAGCGGGACACAATTTCCTGACAATGTACTGTACAATACTTAGACAGTTGCCATCGATCCCTGGATGAGATCAAATAATCGAGTTGAACGAAGATATCTTTCATTACAAAATTGGTGGAATTGTCATCGAACGGATGCGGGAATATTGTTCTTGTTACGGTTATTGTATAACGATAAGCGAAGTGGCCTTTCGCGCTATTCACTGACGTATTCTCAATACTTCGTTCGAGATGTAAAACCATGACGCATTAAAAAGACATTAAATGAAATATGAAAAAGTTTCAGGAATGAAAAATGAAAAAAATATTAATATCTAAACAAACTTTTTACCGGAATAACAATAATATTAATATTATAATATGTGTATTTGTAAGAGGGGCGTGATTTCATGTAGTGTATGTAAATAAAATGTACTGAATTTCCCATGCATTGCGTTTAACATTCCATTAATCTAGTCCTAATTACCAATTTTGTTCAATAACTAATTAAATGTATTTCCAATAAATAGTGTTAAACTCTTAACTATATTTATTCCAATAAAATCAGGATATTAATATTTAGAAATTTTAATAGACTGCGCTTCTTAACTTTAGAGTCTTAGAGGTTTAATTCCTTTAATATTTGAACAAATGCAAACGTGTTTTTTAAACTAATTAAAAAAAAAGAAAAAATTAAATGTAAAAACGTCACTTTAAATAAATATCAAAAACTGTATTTTATGGATACTAACATCAATTGTTAGCCGAAAAATAATTAAAAGTTTGAGTTTTGCTCTTAAAATATTATTAAATTTAAATGAAATCAATTTGTATTAATTCACAAAATGTAATACTTTTTATTAGTTACTAATAAATTAAAAATTAATAAAGAATATTAATAATAATTATTAATAAATAACACTTCATTTAACTGTCAAATTTGTTTTCTAAATCTTTATAATTAAACAATCAAAATTGAAAATGTCTTGTCGAATTTTATCTAGCAATTTTTAAGTTTATCGGAAATGAACTTATCATTATTAGACGCGATGCTAATAAAAAATACTGCAGACATTTTATGAAAAAATACTTTACCTTGAATAAGTCGATTTTGTTCGACTTGCACTTGAGAAGACGAATCTTCAACATTTTCTTTTTCTGAAATGTTTTTAGTTCGATCGATAAATATCGAAAAAAAGGATTTTTATAAATAAAACGAACAATTATATAATTAAAAATAAACATTTTTCTGAAAAATTAAATCCAAAATATTTAATATTCAAATATTCGTTGCGTCATTATGAAAGATTAATAATAAAATTTTAATTTTCTCATCTAGTTGAGAGATTGTCGTAAATTTTTTTTTTAAAAATTCAATCCCTTTAAAGAATTTCTCCCATTTTCTCCGGACCAGTTTCATTTTTGACTCCGTCGAAATTAAACTGTTTACGCTCGACGTTAAAACATTACAAATTTTATTATAAACAATATAAGTATAAAAATGCAATATCAATATTATGTAAACTCGTTAATATTAAATATTTTAATATTATTTTAATTGAAAAATTATAGCATTAGAGCCAAGTACAATAAACTTGTTGTTCGATCGCAAACTAAAAAATAAAAAATAAAATAAAATAAAAATAAAATGCAAAAAGGAACGTTTTGAGTATATTTTGAAAATTGTACAAACCGTATGAAATACAAGAAGGAAATTCGTCTCGAGGATACCAGTAACCATTTTCGGTTCTACATCGAAGAATTAATTCAGTTCTCCTTCCAGGAAAATAGTAACCGGTTCTGCAGGTTCCAGTGCAATTCCTACAGATCGATAAGAGATTTAATTTAGTTACCGACTAATCAGTTCGCTTATTTTAATCGCTTAGCGAAAAAATTCTTACATTCCTAAAGCATCGTAATTGCAACTGACGTATCCCGCGCTGGGTGTGTTTCTTCTTCCGCATTTGATTAGTGTCACTAGAAGTTAAATAAACAAATATACGCGCTTATGTTCTAGGATTTTTCATTTTATATTACTTTAAATTGAATTTTAAGATTATTTTATAACAGAAAATTATAAATAAAGTTGAAATTATTGTAATGTCTAGTATTTCATCATAAAAATTATAGTAAACCTAACATAAAGATAAATTAGGCCACAAAGTTTAATTTATAAATTGAAGAGTAAGGTAATCATACATATATAAGAGAATAAAAATAATTATAAGTATTCTGAATCCCATAAAACAGAAAAAGAAAAGAATTACACTTTTCTCAGGGTTTTAAAACTTCGGGTTTGTCGTCTCTATTCGGTTCTATTTAATCTAAAATTTTTAATGTTTTAAATAAAGTTTCATTTATTGTATGTGAAAAAGCCAAAACTTCCCTATTTAGTAAGACACTTTGCAACTTTTGCAACTTTTGGGAACAGAATCCCCTTATAACATGTAATTATTGATGACTGAATGGACAGCTATTAAAGTGTCAGCCTATTGCTTTGGTGAAACCGGAAACGAATCCGAACGGGTAGAAAAATCCCATAAATTATACGGAGTGCTGTCTTGTCCATTAGGCACGTTAAGCACATTTCTTATACTCTACAAAATTAAAAACTGAGAAAATGGAAGTTTATGAGAATTAAAATAAAAACATTAAATTTTTGTTTAGTCAACTTATTTTATATACTTCACTTTCCGCGTGAAAAATCTTTAATAATTTCTTCAATTGACAGCTCTTTTATTTTTTCAATTTATTCTTTCAGTTGACAGCTCATATTTATCTGTACTTTTCGTAGAAAATGAAATATTAAATTTTCTATGAAAAGTACAGATAAATATGATAATTTTGTTTGAGACAAACTAGATCTTAAATCAGGGGTGTCCAACCCGCGGCCCAAGGCAAGTTCCAATGCGGCCCAATAAACGTGTAAACAAAACCGACAAATGTTTTAATTTTTGGATTTTTAAAATATAAAAATTTCCTATCTTAACGATAATGTTTTTTTTTTCTCTCTTTATCCATACGTTCGCATCTTTCGAGAATATCGAACGAAATCACTAAATGATATTTTCTGAACGGGATTAATGTCTTTCCGAGCATTCAGATTTAAAATATGATCAATTTAATCTAGGAAAAGATCTTTCCGGCAGAGTTTAATCTTGGTTTCTCCTTATTTTTGGGTCGAATAGAAAATAGTTATAAATTACGCAGTAGACGAATTTATTTAATTATCTCTTAAAATCTTTTTGAGAAATTTTAAAATTGTCTTTAGAAATAACTTGCGAGAAATAAATCAGAGAAATGAAACCTGCATTCACCTGATGAGGTGCAGGAAGGAAATTGGTTTACAGGGTACCAATAACCGCTGTCTGTTCGACATCGAAGGGTTATTTCCGTTCTTCTTCCCGGAAAATAATAGCCAGTTCTGCACGTTCCCGTACAGTTCCTAAAAATATGAAAAAAAATTTGGGTAAAAATAAAAATAATTTCGTTTATTAAAAATGTAATTTAGTTTAAATTAATTTTTTAGAAACAATAGTTCTTACATTCCCAAAGTGTCATATTCGCAGTTCACGTATCCGGCTGCCGGAGCTTCTTTTCTTCCGCATTTAGCTAGAGTGACTAAAATTTAGCATTATTAATTAAGAAATAATTGAAACATTAACTATAAAAAATAAAATTTTAAAAGCAACATTAATCGATTTACAAAAATAATTTTTAAAAATATTTCATTAACAAATTCAGTTATGTTTGAATTACCCTGCAATTGGCTGTTTACTTCTTGGGGTCGTTGCTGAGACTCGTCCGTATATCTGTCGCCGTCTGAAAATATTTATTTGCATCAATATAACATTAAATTTAGAGAAATATTTAATATAAACAAAGCATTTACCTATTGTTAAACCGTTTGTGTTTAAATATTTTCCGATTATAAATTATCATATTGAAATATTTCATAATGTTAAATCACTAACTTAAATAAAATTTCAAAATGTTGCCTGCGCGTATTATCTAATTGTGATTCCAATGATTAGAATTTTTCACCAATGTCATAATGTGCCGCAACTACATTCTTTACTTTCGCCGTTTCTTAAATATCTGTCTTGTTTTGCCATATTTTTGGTTCATTTTTAACGTCGTCGATTCGAAGAATGATGATTGAAACTAATTTTAAAATGTTAATGTTCAATAACATCTCTAAGAAAATTGTTATGGTTTCCGTTAAATAAAACAATAACATGTTAATAGTGCCGAAGCAAGACAACAACGAATACTGTAAAATGCATATATTGCAATCATTCAAATAGTCATTCGGATCGACAAAACACTTCATCAATTTGAAGAATAAAATGTTTTGCTAGTGGAAAATAATTAAAAGTAATTATTCAAATCATTCCCTATTGCGAGTTCTGATATTACTGTTGGCATTAAATCGTGATTTGTCCATATCTAAAATAAAGTTAAATTTTTTCTGCTCATATACTGCGTTTCACCGTAGTAGTATACGTTGAAGAGACATTTATTATTACGCTTTCATTTAAATCACAAAAACGTAACAATAAAAATACTTCATAATTTTGAAAACATCGGTATCGTTACAAAATTTTTAAGCTTAAATACTTTCGGGTCAATAATTTTACGGAAATATTTTAAAATTAACAAAACTGATTTTATCTGACTAGAAATGCTCCATTCTTCTCCTTCCAGCATTCATCGAGTTATGCGGGATAGCACTTACTTGAAAAAACTAAATCTTTTTTTTCTTGCAATATGATTCAAATAGCATTGTCTGTTGCCAAGTTTTTATAGCTGAATCATATTTAAGTAAATTTTGAATAAATTGAAACAACTCGAAAGTAATACGGAATCGGACAGTTTTATCAAACCTAATTATTTTTATTTCAATTGTATCAATCTGTTCGGATGTTGTTACGCATCTTTTCGTATTATAAATGATCTAACGAGAAGTAGATAAACCTTATAGAAATGAAAATTCATTTTCTTTCTGTTATTTTAATAAACACAGTCTTATTTTACTAACGAATTTATTTACGGGACATTTTATATTACTAACCGTATGATATGCAGGTAGGAAATTCGTTTCGAGGATACCAATAGCCAGTGTCTGTCCTGCATCGGAGGACTGTTTCTGTTCTCTTTCCAGGAAAATAATAACCGGTTTTGCATGTTCCTGTGCAATTCCTGAAATTACGTAAAAATTCCGTCAGTACAGTAAATGAATAATTCAAATTTTCTAAAATAAATTCAACACGAATACGTTTAAATAAATTTAATAAATGTACTGTACAAGAATTCTTACATTCCTAAAGCATCGTAATTGCAATTGACGTATCCAAAAACTGGTGCTTCTCTTTTTCCGCATTTGCTTAAAGTCACTGAAATTTGATAAATAAATTGTTTTGTTGCTTTATTACACGAATAAAAAAATTATAAATTCTTATAATATTTTGATACAATAACAGTCTTTCGGTTTTTTCTTTGGTTTTCAAAAAATGTCAGTTTAAATTTATAATTACTATAAAAGTGCAAATTATTTTAATACCTGCCAGTAATCTGCTTAATTGCTCTTGCTGTTGAGTCGGATCTGTATATTTTTCATTATCTGAAATATATACACATGTTTTTAAAATAAAATTTAAATTTAAAATAAGACAATTTACAATATTGTAAAATTTTGTCGATAAAATTCTAGAAAATCTTTGCTTTTCGTGAGTATTAATAAATTTTTAATTTTTACATTTAATAAGAATTCATTCGCGTTTCGCTGAATTTAATTAGTTTACATTAATTCAAGTTTCCGACGAATTAAATGTAAACTACTTAGTCAATATTACAGTTTTAAATCGATAAATACTAATAATTACAAACGTATTGCAACCAACCGAATTGTGAGCAGGCAGGAAATTCTCCTCCAGGATACCAAACTCCGTTCTCGGTTCTGCATTGAAGAAGCATTTCTCTTCTGCCATTTGGAAAATAATAACCCGTTCTGCACGTTCCCGTGCAATTCCTATCAATAAAAACGCGGAATTTTAATTTCTTACTAAAGCAGAAAAAGAAAAAAAAAAGAAAACAAAGCTTACATGCTGAACGCGTTGTATTTACAAAAGCTGACACCAAATGTTGGTGCCGCTGGTTTTTTACATTTAATTAGAGTTGCTGAAAAATAAAAATAATTATATTCAATTATCAGTAATTTAAATCGGGAACTTCTTGATTAGAACATAATTTATATTCAAATTTCTAAGAACTTTTTATATTATTATACATCGAATTTATATGTAAATTTTTAACACAAAATGCGAAAAAAAATATGCGTTTCTGTTAATAATAATACAAAATAAAAAAATCGATAAAAACCTTTATTTTTATAGTTTTAGTTTATAATGTAATTCAACAAATTCAGGATTTTTATTCACAATTTTGATCTACAAAATACCCGTGGCAAACTAGTATTTTCCATAAACTTTTAAATGTTAGTCTGTGCCATCGATCGTCTAAAATATCCTTTCTCATGTTAAATGAACGCTCCACGTCTCATACACTAATTGGTGCATGTTTTGCTAGATTTCTGGATGTAAACTCTTTTAGCAAGTAGAAATCGGCTGAAATTCCTTTCCCGGATAAACGACTTTCTCCAGCATCCAAGATTTGGTTTAGTTTGGTTTTATTCGTTTACGGCAACGCGAAACATGGGCGATCTGTCGAAGGAAAATGCCTCCCGGGAGGACTTTAATGGGAAAATGGACCCTATTTTGCTGTTACTATTTTGCTGTTACACTAACGTGAAGAAAATTCCGCATGGCCAACCCGTTGGCCAGGCGCGAACCCAAGACCAAAACTACCAGTGGCCAGTAGTTTCATCCACTCGGCCACTGATTGGCACTCCATGACTTGGTATCCTTGGTATAAAAATACTGAATTACACTCTCTAATAAAAATTAAAATTAAGCTTTGTTTATTTAAAAAATTTTTTCAGCGTTAAATGTATCCAAATATGCTTAATTATTGTTTGAAAAATTGAGCATATTTGGGTACACATTGACAAATTTTACATTTTATAGGGAATTAAACTCTGAAGAAAAAAAAATGATTAATGCTTGGAAAAAATTTAAATTCTGATCATATATATAAAATCTTGAAACTTATACCAAAATACGTTCTCTCAAATTATGGGAATGACCTAAATCATCATGGACTATAGATTTATTCCTCCCAAGTTCATAGAAGTTTGCAAAAAAGATATATAAATAAGCATCGGTTTTGTATATTTTATAAATTAATTTATTTTCTTCCATAATTATATAAATAAATTTAAATACCTGTGTAAGTACTTTTATCATCCTTAAATTGTTAACTTAAATAAAAATGATTTTGTAAATTTGTAGATGATCACATAAAAAGATTAATTTAAATTATTTTCTTCTTTTTATTATAACAANCGCATTTAATATTCGTGTCTTAATTTCTGTGAAACCGAGCGAAGCCATATTGGAAGCACTCTTACAGAAGACTGCGTGGTCTACCGAATTTAAGGTAATTGGTGACGTCAGTCGACTTAACAAATACGGTAACCAATCGTCGTGCATTCAACACAGGGAACTCAGAAAGTTCTGTTATTGTAATAATCAATTTACACATAAAAAGTAATGAAAATTTCAATATATTTTCTTTAAGTCGAGTAATTTATTAAATTAAATTTATTATTATTATAGTTTATTAAATTTTATTTCTTTTTAAATCCATCGGCTTTAAAAACGAATTATCGATTAATATAGTGAGTATAATATAATTTCAGAAGGTTGAGTCAGTTAATTGTGAACGTTTTCTAAGCTCTGAAAACATTTCTTTTATAGTACTGGTTGTATTCTGTGAGGTACTGTACACTTGAGCCAGAACTATCATTCTGCAGCAAAGATTTTACTGCAGGAGACTCTTCCACAGAAATTCAACAGGAATTCGTTCCACACCTTTTGGAATATTTTACACAGTTCTGCGGAAGTTTTGGAACTCCTTTATGAAAGATCTCTTTTAAATATGACAAATTCGCATAAATCAATGAGTGAGGCGTCTAGAGATTTGGGACGAAAAGGAATTATCTTGATGCTAGTTTTAACTGTTTTCTTAGCATAATAAGCTACCGAAACTTGGTGGCATGACTGGATCTACACCATTTACCCCTCTCTGTCTGGTAAAAATGTGGAAATTCCTGAGAGAACAGTGGGTCCGAAAATAGATTGCATTGATCTTCCTGCATTGTTTTTTCCATCGACTATGTTTGGTTGCCACGATAGCAGCAGAACTCAATATTTAGATGATTTCATGAATCCCTTTGGAAAACTTCCTCTGCACTGCCCGGAAAAGTCGTAGCAGCCTGTAATAGTTCTTTCTCTGCAGTATATCAATCATGGCTTGTTTCTTTCATCCAGGTACTGTCTACCCACGCTTCGTCAGAGAACCACCCACTGCCACCGTAGCCTGCCAGATATCCTTCGTACAACTTTCTTGTATTGTTAAAGTGCTCTTTGACATCGTTTGGATTGAGTTGATGCCCATTGGCTTTGTGCTTAAGATCAGAACCAAGAATTTTACGAATGATTTGTCCCACTGTTGGTTGTGATATTTTCAGTCTTCGGGACATGCTTCTTTGAGAAGCGAGATTCTCCTTGAACACATTGACATTAATTTGTCGGATTATCTCTAACGAACAGGATGGCTGGTTATGATATTTTCACTGTTTCTCAGGACATCCACAGGCGTCGGGAGGTAGCCGGTTGTACTTTTGAATAATGCTGCCTATACTCGATTTACTTATACTAAGACATTTTTCCGAACCTTTTTTACTGTCATGGAAAGGATATTTAGTTTTGGAATGTTCACGAATATACTCTTCCCAATAGGCCGTTATTTTCGTTGTCATATTTAAGGATTTTTTCAACGAATCTGCCAACAGAATATTTTAGAACGTAAAATGATTCTAACATGTCCAGATGATTGAATTTGTTACGAAAATTTGCATATGCATGTATCATTTGCGTAAAGTCTACAAATATCAACTCACTCCTACAAAAATACAATTACACTTTAAAATACGTTACTCTTTAAAAAAAGATTTTAAAATATATTTTGTTAATGAAAATAAATAAATTAAAAAGTTTCAATTCTATCAAAAATAGGAATTTGTATATAAAATCGATCGAAAAAGTTAGTTTATATCCGACAATTCTATTGCATTTTTAACGTGGATAAATTTTATTTTCATTAATTTAATGAGTCAATGAGCTTCAAATAGTCAATTCGAAAATTAATAATGCTCATAATTTACATAATTTATCGATGAACCTTCAAAATTAAAAATTTTAAATATAATATATTCCGTTAAATACTGCAATTTGCATATTTGATGGTGATGATAATGTCTAGAAGATGGGCCACGTACGATACTGCGATAATTATTGAATACAGATAATTAATTAACAGTCATTTTAATCATCGTAATATTTTAACAACATAAACTAGATAAAACTTTAATTTTAAATGACATCGTTACAATGCCGGGCTGCAATTTTTAATCATATTTTTAATTTATTTAATTTAAATTACAGTATATACTTTTCACCTCAAAGTAATATACACCCTGTACATCATACTTTCCCTGCTAGCAATAAAGTCGTGCCAGTCACTATCTAACTCTTTCCAGGAGAAAATTTTTAATTGAAATGACGTGACTTCCGGTGCAAACCGTATATAGTTAATCGGGTTAATATATCATATATAATTAATTGGAGTCTTCTGCCCCGAAGATTTCCATATCTGGTCTCAATTTTCATCTATGTAACACCGTTCTCGAGATTAAGGAAGGATAGATAGTCAGATAGACAGGAGGACGACAGAGGGAATTTTTAGGTCTACAATCTTTTCAAATTGCAGCTCAAAAATCATTGTGTTTCTTCCTGACAAACGTTATCTTATTTTTCTAACCTTTATATTAAAATTTCGCAATGCATCTATTAATTTATAGCTGATTTAATGTCATTATGACAAGATTGACCATTTCATCATGACAATAATAATTAAACGTGTCTTAAAATTATGAGTCTGTAATGTGACATTGAAAAATATCTAGTATTTATCGATTTTGCTCTTGGGACTGTATTATTGTTTCGAATAATTTTATATTTTTACATAAAATTATTTAATTGTAATTTTTTTTTTACTCTGTATTCACTTATTTTTTGTTTATCACATTTAAACCTAAACAAGTTTTTCCGGGCGAAGAAATCATCATTATTCAAACAAAAGATTGTCAGAAAACGATATTTAAGTCAAAACGGCTTTAAATTTATTTAATTATTTTTTTCTTATTTCTAGAAGTTTCTTACAGCAAAGTGTATTTCTTAACAAAGATCAGAATAAATTTTCTTTGAGAAAATTTATTAAATAAAGCTAATTCGATTATTTATTGCTAAAGATTTAACAGTCAGTAAACAATTTAATAATATTAAAATGTGGACTTCTATACACAAACAACAGAACACATAAACAACATTAATGCTATAAAAGTATTATAAAGATTCAAAATACTGTTAATAAAATATTGCAATTAAATTAATGCAATTCATCTTTATTTAAAAAGCATAAAACAAAATAAACTTAATTTATCTGTATTTATTTTTACCGAATTAATTTTATATAATAAAAAGCTAGAATGAAAAGGCTTTACCCCTCATTCTAAATTTATATCATATAAAACTAATTCGGTAATAATCCGCTGCTAAGATTTTTTCTTTTGTGTTAATAATTTATTTTCTATTTTCTGTCACAAAGTTTGAAAAAATCATTATCGAAAAGTAAGAAAACTAATTATTTAAAAGGTTAATATTTCTAATCTATTGCTTTGATTTGGTATTAAATTACTGTTATTGCATTTTATCAAAAAAAAAATTCTGATCTTATTTTTATCGAATTTTAGTAATTAATATCCTATTCGGTATAATATATTGCGGAATAACCTTTAAATTTTCTATCTCGATTTTTATGTCTGTTTAGCGTGTATTTAGGGCGAAATAAGAAAATAAAATTCTCTATTCTCTAAAAAAAATATTAATTTTAGATAATAAAACAAAATATTTTTTATTCATGTTGTTTTTATGTTCTTTTCTTTATTTTCTTCATGTTTTTGTTTAAGTTTTCGAGAAAATTTCTGTATTTGTGTAAAATATAAATAAACATTTATGACTAAATAAAGTTTGACAAACAATATTTAAGCATAAAATTTGTATATGCCTATTCGAAATACGATAAAGTCTCGCGATGTTCTAGTTAATTAAATATGACGTAACAAAAAGTATAATAAGAGCAAATACAAAAGACCAGCAATGAGTTGCGTAACTTTTCCGCAAAAAAGTTAAAATTGTATATAACGCCATCTGGTATATTTTATATTTGTTTATTTTGGAAACGAACAATTTATAAGGTATAATTTTTTTTATGAATTCGTTTGATATTTCACTCAGTTTTTGGAATACGATACGTTATTATAACGACTTATCTTAAAAATAATAACATAAATTAGATTTTAATAGCTAAATTTTATGATGATTTTTTAAAATAAATTTAAAAATTAATTTAATTACACAAAATTACTTTATAAGAAATACTTTTAAATAAAATATTAATGAATAAAAAGTAAGATATTTCTTTTAAAAATCAAATAATAGAAAAACAGACCGGAGTAAGATGAACAAGGAGGAAAGTCGTTTCGAGGATACCAATATGCAGTTTCTGTTCGACATTGAAGAATTATTTCTGTAATTTCTCCTGGAAAATAATAACCCGTCGCACACGTCCCAGTGCAGTTCCTGTAACAAGTATAAATAATTAATATTGCCGGTGTGAAGATATATCCAAGAATCGCGCAATATATGAATAATAACTGAGTGACCGATTCTGTTAATTTACAAATAACAAAGTTTACACTTCGATTATTTATTTATAGGTCGATGTGTAGACCATGTGTCTATCCAAAAAAAAGTAATCTAGAAAAATACAAAAGCACAAAGTCCGTGGCATGATGAATTTCCTTTAATTTTCCTCAAAACAAAAATCTTAAGTAATTTATGTATAAAGCAGAATAAAAAAAAAAAAAGCAAACAACAAAATAAATCTCATGTTTACATCGGGTATTGGAAAACACGTTATTTACTCTTCTAAATTTACGAAGTTTTCTGTATTAATCAAAATAATAGAATATTTACAATAAATTATATTCCGCTAGAATAGCCATAGGAGTACCTTGAAATGTACAGACCTATTCGGAGGACCTATTTTTAAATGTTTATACATTGAAATTTAGGATTGGGCATTGTACTTATTAAATAATTTACTATAATTAGGGTAAACTTACATTTCACGAGCATCGTATTTGCAGTTGACGTATCCTCCTGCCGGTGCCTCTCTCATCCCACATCTATTCAGAGTTACTGAAAATAAATCATTAGAAAAATTTTAATTCATAAAACAATAATTCGGATATTTAATAAATCTTAACGAAATCTTAACTAATTAATGTAAACTGGTATAAAAAGGACAGCATAAATTTCAAATATTGCATTTTTTAAACATTTTGTTAAAAACATTTTTCTACGATATTAACTCAGATAATTTCAATTAGAAGGATTTTTAATAATTTCTATTTTAAAATGACAGGAAAGTCTCATTTTATGAAGAAATTATTGTGAATTAGAAGGACTAGTTCGCTGTTTTTATTCATATCGTCTATCTACAGCACTAATAATTATTTTTATATTTTCCATTATTCGATGTTTTTGACATATTTGCATTAGTAATTCCTGTTTGTGACTACTTTATATTATCTGTATTTATTACTATATTGAAGCTGTAAGTGCGCCAATTTTAATGTTTTACACACATGAGAATGAAGCTCACCTGGTCGGAAAACTTCCATTTTTCCCCCGTTAGTAGTAAGTGATTTTCTGATGACCAAGGAAGACATCGAACCAGGTTTATGTTTAAATAAAATTTTTAATTTATCGGCGGACCGCAAACATATTTTCTAATGCGGGTGCAAGTTTTGAGCCTTCAGACTACCAACACAATCCATAACCTCCAACACGAAAGGTGTTAAAATAATATATGCAAACTAGTAATATAATTACATTTAATACGTAGGGCCTATATAGCTTATTTTTACCGGTCGTGTTTAGCTTGTATGTTATTTGTTACGGAAAACAGATTGATTTGGGTTTTATAATATCACGAGGCAGAAAATAAATCATTGTTGCAAAAGTCCCGGTGACCACGGATTGCTCATGATTGATCTAAACTATAATAGTGTTTGATTGTATTCAATTTCATCGAATAATTCACCAGAGCCTTCTTCAGTAACAATTTGGCATATTTAATAATGTCATCATAGCACACACTGAAATTTCCTTGTCAATTGCCACCTAGCTTTTAAACTTTTCTTATTGACGAGTTTTCTTTATTGTCTGTTTAAAGAGAAGATAATAATTTCATATTCACATGTCTCTGTGCCAGCTTTCAACTTTTTAAAAAATCATTTATCTCAGACATTTACCTAATCCCACATAGCCAAAAGATGTAGTGTGTCAAGTAGAAAAACTTCTTTTAGTAACAGAGATCATGTCAATTCGTCTTTAACTATTATCTAGTTAAAATTCTTACATACATTTAACTTATATTTTTTTGCTTTTACTGGATATGATTCCATGGTCGCATGGCAGAATTAGTGACATTTACATGGAGGAACATGATTTTAATGTTTCTAATAACGCATTTTTAACATAAAAATGTACTGTACAAATTGCTACTAACAAAACAATCTTTTGATTTCAAATTTATATCCTATGTGACTAACCAGTTCTAAAAAATGCCAGTTGTTATTTGAACAGTAATCCACTGGTAAATGTTTCATATCCTTAAAAATCTAAAATTTTTACTTTTTCTAATCATTTTAAGTCTTTGTTTCTTGCTTGCAAACAGCACAGCAAACAATTATAATACGTTTCTTCAGTGATTTAAATCCTTTAGCACTTTTAAGTAGGCCTATATATACTGTATGATCAAACATTTCACTAAAATAAAGTATTACTTTGTCTGCATTGTATATATTCTTTGCCACTTTGTCTTTATCCATAATTCAACTGATGCAGAATCAGAATTTTTTCCTTATCTTGAATGGTCATACCATAATGTTCTCTCGCTTTCTCCGACGCTGATCCCCCATCGGTTGTACTAAAATCCTTACCACATTTTTAACTAATTCTTTTGCTTTATGCCATATTGATGATACTGTACATTAACGGATAAATTTACTACCAAAACCTCTAAACCAAAGCTAACTCAACTTCACAATGACAGTATTATTTCCGGTTCTAATGTATTAAGAATAAATATCCTATGTAATTGAATAATTTAAATTGGTTTTAATAGTTGTGCTGCATTTTTATTGAAACGATGTGACTTGTGTTATTTGCTATTTTTAATCTTCTATGTATTGAATAAATTCAAAGATAGTGATCTTTACAATAAGCTGGAGTTTGTATTTTTATTTTATTCCTATGTTTTGGGATGTGTTGATTCTGATAATATTAGACTATTGATAATAATATCAGCGATTACAATAAGTAATATCTACTGTTTTCATTTTATTTTTGGTTTAATATTTTATATATCAATAAAATAAATATTTTTTGTTAAGATGCTTAGGTAAAACGAGTAGCTTAACTTTGATGGGGATAGGTTATAGATAGATAGTGCTTTTTAGTAGATTCTGTAGGTATTTTTAGGATACAGTGTACTAAAATAGTTTATATTCTATTCTATGACAGTGATGTTCAATAGGCAATCGCGAATGCTAAATTTATGCTTTTGTTTTCATTTTTTCCCCTTAATTTTAAACTATTTATTAATTTGAGTCTTCGTAAATAATAGAAACGTTAAACGAAATAATCCTATATTATTTTGTCGTATTGTATAACTTGCTCGAAAGAAAACAACCCACAAAATATTAATACAGAAAAACACTACAATAATTACAAATATAGAAAAGAAATAAAAACGCAGAAATTAATATATATATACAGTATAATTGGAAAACAGACAAAATCTACGAAGTGTGAGGTAAAATAATAATGTAATGTAATTGTGACATAAGTTTACAACCGATATGTTATGAAATTTTTAAAATCTTTTAAATAAATAAAATAAAATAATAATAATAATAATAAATAAATTTATTCATTTTTCTCAATATTGCATCTACAATGAATATCTTCTTAAATAACACTTTTTTAAAATAAAATACTGTATTCATATTATTCTGGATGAATTTTTTTCAATTTTGTCAAGTGGATAGCATTTTTATCAATGCATTCTTCAAATTCCATTTCAAACTTTAGAAACTATAAAATTGAAACTGGAAATATTAAATGAAATTCAAAAAGAAAAAAATGTGTGTACAAATTTTAAACTGTAGCCCTAAACCAGTGTTTTTCAACCTTCTTGAATACGCGACCCCTTTATAAGTTAAAAATTTCTGGCAACCCCCACGGCCATATTAAAACTGTCAGTGATTTTAAAAACTATGTATTTAATTTTCTTTCTGTTGAGATTTAAATATCAATCAAAAAACCAATTGTACTGTAAAATAAACAGGCACAGCTTTCTCACTGAAATTGTAGTTTTTTTATTGTAGTGTAGGACCTACAAACACTTGTCTTTTTCTTTTACCCGTGAACCCCGTGTATGGCTTTGCGACCCACAGGTTGAAAAACACTGCCCTAAACTAACTATGAATTTTAAACTATAAACTATAGATAACATCCAAAAAAACAGCATTTTTTAAGATTAATCTTTAATCTATTAATACAAGTCAAAGTGATCATTCTACAGTTCAGGTATTAAGCTTTTTCAAACATTGTTTTAATATAAAAGAATTAATAAATTTATTATTATTATAACTTAATATAATGTTATTAAAATTCAACGTGATGATGAAAAGTATCAGCAAGTATCTTCTTCAGATAAAATACAATTGAAAGAATTTTTTTAAAAAAGAACATTATAATAATACATGAAACTTAAATAGAAGACTCCAAGACTATATATCAGGAAAACCATGAAAATAATGAAGGAGTCAATTTTTAATGTAAATTCAAATTTTTTGTGTACAAACTTAAACTCATATGGTCGATGGTATTCAAAAATGTAAGAAGCAGGAGTTGTTGTTTTAGTCAAATGTTAAAATCATTAAAATTTGACTGTATGGATCTGATAATGAGATTTATAGATTCCAAGTAGCACTTTATATCATATCAAAAGTTAAATTTTTTATTATTTTTGTGGCTCTTCTGATTTAACTATCACAGTGCTAAAAGAGTAAAGTTATCAGACAAAGACTTGCAGAATGTGAAAAAAAATAAGTGTAAATTATTTGTAATTCTCAACATTTATTTTTCTGTTTGAAATAAAAATTCATTTTAATCTACCTTGGCTTTCCAATTGTGTTTGAACTAAGATTAAATAAATTATGAAATATGTCAAAATTAAGTTTCTCATGATTATTTTAGTGTTGATAAAACTTTTTGTAGTTACGTATAGAAAAACTTACAATAAATAAAATTAAACAAATTTATCATTTATTCAATTAACAATTTTATTTTGAGACTTCTACAATTTTCTCTAAATAAAATCATAGACAATTCAAATAATTGTAAACCAAAATAAGTATTTACCGTTCCATCAATCCATAGCATAACATCTTGATATATAGTTATCACGGTGTATCTAGAGATACGTACTAAGGGTATTTCTTCAGTAGCCAAACTTGAAAAACTATCTTTTAGTAATTCAACACCGTCTGGTCCAGCATAAATACGATATGATTTACCAGATGCTTCAATTCTTATTGTTCTAAAACACTAAATGTATTTTTATAATAAATATCAAATAAACACAAGTCATACATTCTTTATATAAAAAGTTCTCAATTTATTAACCTGGACATTTGTTGTAACTCTTCGGTTTATACAATTTTCATCATGTTCTAAAATGACTGTAAAGGTATCAGTGGAGCAGTCTTGCACCAAAATATAGGAACAAGTTCCAGGAAAGTCAAACATATATCCATCAAAAGTACGATAGTGAAAGGTGCTCCAAACAGCACAAGTACCAGTCGGTTTAGAAGAGGCTATAAAAAATATTAAAGTTAGAAAAATATCAATATTCATAAATTAAATTTAGAATAGTATATTATGAATATACAGTGCACTTCCACTAATCTAAATCTGCATTAATCCAAACTAATGTTGTCCTTTTTCTGCTAAATGTTGCAGCCAAAACTAAAAGCACTCATAAGTTACTTTCTAAACATAATAAATTTGTTAAATGAATAAATACTACACATTTTAATATAAATACATATAACATATACAGAAATTTTTAAAATGTATTTGTTTGTAGTTATTATTGACTTTCTAGGTATATAACAAACTTGGTGACAGATTTGTAAAAAAATTTCTGGGGAGCATAACATGTGACAGTAAAAGTTTTGAAAGGAGAAAAAGAAATACACATACAACTATCAAATAATACTAAGTTACATTTTATTAGTAAAGATATTGTATTATAATAACTTGAAAATTATTCATAACAAAGATAAATATATTTTTCTAAAAGCAATCATTAATTAAATATAAATCACTATATAATTGTTGTGATAACTGTCATGATAATTGGCAAATATAAAAACAAAAAGCAGGTTGGTTATATCACAGAACAAAATCCATTAATCTTTTTCTTTGAGAAATAATGATTCTAAGATGATGCTATTTATATTAATTGAAGCTTTTCTATGAATTATCCAGTCCGNTCATTAATTTAATGAGTCAATGAGCTTCAAATAGTCAATTCGAAAATTAATAATGCTCATAATTTACATAATTTATCGATGAACCTTCAAAATTAAAAATTTTAAATATAATATATTCCGTTAAATACTGCAATTTGCATATTTGATGGTGATGATAATGTCTAGAAGATGGGCCACGTACGATACTGCGATAATTATTGAATACAGATAATTAATTAACAGTCATTTTAATCATCGTAATATTTTAACAACATAAACTAGATAAAACTTTAATTTTAAATGACATCGTTACAATGCCGGGCTGCAATTTTTAATCATATTTTTAATTTATTTAATTTAAATTACAGTATATACTTTTCACCTCAAAGTAATATACACCCTGTACATCATACTTTCCCTGCTAGCAATAAAGTCGTGCCAGTCACTATCTAACTCTTTCCAGGAGAAAATTTTTAATTGAAATGACGTGACTTCCGGTGCAAACCGTATATAGTTAATCGGGTTAATATATCATATATAATTAATTGGAGTCTTCTGCCCCGAAGATTTCCATATCTGGTCTCAATTTTCATCTATGTAACACCGTTCTCGAGATTAAGGAAGGATAGATAGTCAGATAGACAGGAGGACGACAGAGGGAATTTTTAGGTCTACAATCTTTTCAAATTGCAGCTCAAAAATCATTGTGTTTCTTCCTGACAAACGTTATCTTATTTTTCTAACCTTTATATTAAAATTTCGCAATGCATCTATTAATTTATAGCTGATTTAATGTCATTATGACAAGATTGACCATTTCATCATGACAATAATAATTAAACGTGTCTTAAAATTATGAGTCTGTAATGTGACATTGAAAAATATCTAGTATTTATCGATTTTGCTCTTGGGACTGTATTATTGTTTCGAATAATTTTATATTTTTACATAAAATTATTTAATTGTAATTTTTTTTTTACTCTGTATTCACTTATTTTTTGTTTATCACATTTAAACCTAAACAAGTTTTTCCGGGCGAAGAAATCATCATTATTCAAACAAAAGATTGTCAGAAAACGATATTTAAGTCAAAACGGCTTTAAATTTATTTAATTATTTTTTTCTTATTTCTAGAAGTTTCTTACAGCAAAGTGTATTTCTTAACAAAGATCAGAATAAATTTTCTTGAGAAAATTTATTAAATAAAGCTAATTCGATTATTTATTGCTAAAGATTTAACAGTCAGTAAACAATTTAATAATATTAAAATGTGGACTTCTATACACAAACAACAGAACACATAAACAACATTAATGCTATAAAAGTATTATAAAGATTCAAAATACTGTTAATAAAATATTGCAATTAAATTAATGCAATTCATCTTTATTTAAAAAGCATAAAACAAAATAAACTTAATTTATCTGTATTTATTTTTACCGAATTAATTTTATATAATAAAAAGCTAGAATGAAAAGGCTTTACCCCTCATTCTAAATTTATATCATATAAAACTAATTCGGTAATAATCCGCTGCTAAGATTTTTTCTTTTGTGTTAATAATTTATTTTCTATTTTCTGTCACAAAGTTTGAAAAAATCATTATCGAAAAGTAAGAAAACTAATTATTTAAAAGGTTAATATTTCTAATCTATTGCTTTGATTTGGTATTAAATTACTGTTATTGCATTTTATCAAAAAAAAAATTCTGATCTTATTTTTATCGAATTTTAGTAATTAATATCCTATTCGGTATAATATATTGCGGAATAACCTTTAAATTTTCTATCTCGATTTTTATGTCTGTTTAGCGTGTATTTAGGGCGAAATAAGAAAATAAAATTCTCTATTCTCTAAAAAAAATATTAATTTTAGATAATAAAACAAAATATTTTTTATTCATGTTGTTTTTATGTTCTTTTCTTTATTTTCTTCATGTTTTTGTTTAAGTTTTCGAGAAAATTTCTGTATTTGTGTAAAATATAAATAAACATTTATGACTAAATAAAGTTTGACAAACAATATTTAAGCATAAAATTTGTATATGCCTATTCGAAATACGATAAAGTCTCGCGATGTTCTAGTTAATTAAATATGACGTAACAAAAAGTATAATAAGAGCAAATACAAAAGACCAGCAATGAGTTGCGTAACTTTTCCGCAAAAAAGTTAAAATTGTATATAACGCCATCTGGTATATTTTATATTTGTTTATTTTGGAAACGAACAATTTATAAGGTATAATTTTTTTTATGAATTCGTTTGATATTTCACTCAGTTTTTGGAATACGATACGTTATTATAACGACTTATCTTAAAAATAATAACATAAATTAGATTTTAATAGCTAAATTTTATGATGATTTTTTAAAATAAATTTAAAAATTAATTTAATTACACAAAATTACTTTATAAGAAATACTTTTAAATAAAATATTAATGAATAAAAAGTAAGATATTTCTTTTAAAAATCAAATAATAGAAAAACAGACCGGAGTAAGATGAACAAGGAGGAAAGTCGTTTCGAGGATACCAATATGCAGTTTCTGTTCGACATTGAAGAATTATTTCTGTAATTTCTCCTGGAAAATAATAACCCGTCGCACACGTCCCAGTGCAGTTCCTGTAACAAGTATAAATAATTAATATTGCCGGTGTGAAGATATATCCAAGAATCGCGCAATATATGAATAATAACTGAGTGACCGATTCTGTTAATTTACAAATAACAAAGTTTACACTTCGATTATTTATTTATAGGTCGATGTGTAGACCATGTGTCTATCCAAAAAAGAGTAATCTAGAAAAATACAAAAGCACAAAGTCCGTGGCATGATGAATTTCCTTTAATTTTCCTCAAAACAAAAATCTTAAGTAATTTATGTATAAAGCAGAATAAAAAAAAAAAAAGCAAACAACAAAATAAATCTCATGTTTACATCGGGTATTGGAAAACACGTTATTTACTCTTCTAAATTTACGAAGTTTTCTGTATTAATCAAAATAATAGAATATTTACAATAAATTATATTCCGCTAGAATAGCCATAGGAGTACCTTGAAATGTACAGACCTATTCGGAGGACCTATTTTTAAATGTTTATACATTGAAATTTAGGATTGGGCATTGTACTTATTAAATAATTTACTATAATTAGGGTAAACTTACATTTCACGAGCATCGTATTTGCAGTTGACGTATCCTCCTGCCGGTGCCTCTCTCATCCCACATCTATTCAGAGTTACTGAAAATAAATCATTAGAAAAATTTTAATTCATAAAACAATAATTCGGATATTTAATAAATCTTAACGAAATCTTAACTAATTAATGTAAACTGGTATAAAAAGGACAGCATAAATTTCAAATATTGCATTTTTTAAACATTTTGTTAAAAACATTTTTCTACGATATTAACTCAGATAATTTCAATTAGAAGGATTTTTAATAATTTCTATTTTAAAATGACAGGAAAGTCTCATTTTATGAAGAAATTATTGTGAATTAGAAGGACTAGTTCGCTGTTTTTATTCATATCGTCTATCTACAGCACTAATAATTATTTTTATATTTTCCATTATTCGATGTTTTTGACATATTTGCATTAGTAATTCCTGTTTGTGACTACTTTATATTATCTGTATTTATTACTATATTGAAGCTGTAAGTGCGCCAATTTTAATGTTTTACACACATGAGAATGAAGCTCACCTGGTCGGAAAACTTCCATTTTTCCCCCGTTAGTAGTAAGTGATTTTCTGATGACCAAGGAAGACATCGAACCAGGTTTATGTTTAAATAAAATTTTTAATTTATCGGCGGACCGCAAACATATTTTCTAATGCGGGTGCAAGTTTTGAGCCTTCAGACTACCAACACAATCCATAACCTCCAACACGAAAGGTGTTAAAATAATATATGCAAACTAGTAATATAATTACATTTAATACGTAGGGCCTATATAGCTTATTTTTACCGGTCGTGTTTAGCTTGTATGTTATTTGTTACGGAAAACAGATTGATTTGGGTTTTATAATATCACGAGGCAGAAAATAAATCATTGTTGCAAAAGTCCCGGTGACCACGGATTGCTCATGATTGATCTAAACTATAATAGTGTTTGATTGTATTCAATTTCATCGAATAATTCACCAGAGCCTTCTTCAGTAACAATTTGGCATATTTAATAATGTCATCATAGCACACACTGAAATTTCCTTGTCAATTGCCACCTAGCTTTTAAACTTTTCTTATTGACGAGTTTTCTTTATTGTCTGTTTAAAGAGAAGATAATAATTTCATATTCACATGTCTCTTTCAACTTTTTAAAAAATCATTTAT